GCTATCCAATTTTATTCAGGACCTAGGCGATTTTGATGTGCTACTGGGTGTAGACACATTGAGTCGACTTAGAATTGGGCTAACTGGCGTTGCTCACAAGTTTGCTGATATTGGACATCTTACAGAGGAAGAGAAATCAGAGCTTCTTGAAAGCATCGATTTCGAAAATGTCAATTTTGATACTAAACATTCTATTGATCCAGAAACCGCATCAATCTTTGAATCCCAAGCTGAGGAGAATAAGTATATGAGCAACATCCAAGATGCTATTGATGAGAATCAGAGAATCAAGCCTGGAACGTTTTGTAACGTGCCTGAATCTGAGATCACTATACCAATCAAGGAGAATGTTGATTACTACGTCAAGCAATATCCGATCGCACATCATGCAATGCCCGAAATCGAAAAGCAATTGAATGAATGGCTGGATGCAGGAATTGTAGAACAGTGTAGACCTAACGGCTTATTCAACAGCCCTCTCATTGCAGTATCAAAGAAGGACAATGATGGCAAACCCACCAAAACTCGAGTTTGTATGGATGTGCGGAGGATCAACCAGCATATGCCCAACAATACAAACCAATTTGAGATACCAAATATACAGGATATCTTCACCCGGATCAAGCAGAAGGGGACAATATTTTCGAAAATCGATCTGAAAAACGCATATTTTTCATTTAGAATTTCTGACATATCAAGAAATGTGCTTTTGTTCAATTTTAGAGGAAAATCGTATAGATGGTTAGGCTGCTGTTTCGGGTTGCGCCCAATCACATCTGTCTTTAGCTCTGTCATGAACATTTTGTTTTCTGATATGCCCAACGTGGAGGTCTATGTGGACGACCTATGCCTCGTATCTTCATCCTTATCCAGTCATTGCGAATTGATTAAGGAGGTGCTGAGACGCTTGACACATGCCAACTTAAAGATTGGTGTTGAAAAGTGCTCCTGGTTTCGATCTAGCATCTACTTGCTAGGCTTTGTAGTTGGTCCTCATGTTTCCAAGGTTGACATGCGACGTCTCTCTGACATTGATCATTGGGGTCCATGCAAATCTGCCAAACAGGTTAAACAACTAGCTGGTGTTATTTCATATTTGAGACCACACATCCCAAATCTGTCAAAACTGATGGCGCCTATTGATGCTCTACGAAATGATCCAGATGCTGGTAGCAAATGGACTGAGGAGCACACCAAACGACTTGAGATTATCAAGAAGGTCTTGTTATCTGAAGCTTTACTGACTGCACCAGACATGAATAAGAAATTTTATCTTGAATGTGATGCTAGCTTATATGCAGTTGCAGTCATTTTGACGCAGCGCGACGATCAAGGACGCACAGTCTATGTGGCGATGTTGAGCAAATCTCTGACCAAATCCCAACAGAACTGGCCTGTCCTGAGACGAGAACTGTATGCCGTGTTATTCGGTTTAGTTCGTTTGCGACCCTTATTGTACGGGCATCCTGAGATTGAGGTTATGACAGATCATCGAGCTCTGATTTATATCTACACATGTAAATGTCCTACTAGAGTCATTCAAAATTACATGGAGATTTTAAACGAGTATCCCCAACTGCAATTCACTCATATCAAGGGCTTAGACAACATCTTACCTGACAAACTTAGTCGCTTGTATGAACCTTTAGAAGATCATACAGAGCTGGCGGGAGACAGTGATAAGAAAATTGCTAAATTACAAAAGAATATCATGAGAAGCAAAGGCTCCAAGAAACGATTCATTGGCAACAATAAGCAAACAAAGCATTATCTAACCAAGAACAACGTAGTCTATAATAAAGACAAGCACTTGAATGTACTTGCTATGAAGATCAAGGAGGGCAATTATGAAAGCGTTGCTTACATTGCACCACCTGACAATGAGAGAGACCAACTGCTTCGTGAAACTCATGAATTTGGACACTTTGGTGCCACTAGTATTGTCAAGAAACTACATGAAGAAGGTATTCATTGGACAGGTCTATATGATGATGCAAAGGCAATTTGTCAATCATGTATGGAATGTGCAAGGCATAATGTAGTTCAAAAGGGTTACCATGAACTGAGAAACGTTGTAGCGTATGGTCCATTTGATCACATAGGCATTGACTTTCTTGGTCCGTTAACTCCAACCAACAATGGCAATATATATATATTAGTTGTATACGACATTTGCACCAGATTTATTATAACTCGTGCATTGCCCAACAAACAAACCGATACTGTCGCTAGAGCTCTGACTACCATCTTTGGAGACTTTGGCGTAGTACAAATACTACAATCTGATAATGGACGTGAATTCAAGAGTGCTTTGATGAGCGAGATCGGTAAAGCACTTGGCATCAATCAAAGATACTCTACGGCTTTCCACGCTAGGGGCAATGGTGCATCCGAATCAGGTGTTAAAAATATTCTTAATGCACTTCGTAAGATGGTCAGTGAACACATCTATGACTGGGACTCGGTTCTACCTGGAACTCAACTGGCTATAAACACAAAAATTAGGTATCGCACTGAGAGTGCACCTTTTCAATTGATGTTTGCTAGACCATTGAATAGATTCGTAGACTACGATGATCCTAAGATCAAGGACAACTTACCAAAGAAGCCAATGACTCTCGGTGAGCTACGCAAGAAGGCAGAGATTATGAACCAGGTTGTCTTTCCAGCTATTAACCAAAGAACACAACGCATTATTGAAGAGCAAGCAACGCGATTCAATAAGCATCACAAGATTACACACTTCAAAGTTGGTGATTGGGTTATGGTAAGACTTCCGCATAGAGAAAGCAAACTTGAGGCCGCTTATGATGGACCTTATCAAGTTGTTCAAAAGAAAAGATCTACATATGTGTTGAAAGACGATATGAATGAACTACTACATCGCGACTATGTGCCATCTGAATTGAAGCTGGTAGCAATCGACGAGTCTATCATCGAACAAGAAGTATATGAGGTTGACGAGATCAGAGCGCATCGTGGTCCTGAACACAATAGAGAGTATTTGGTAAAATGGAAGACATTTGGAGAAGCTGCCAACTCCTGGGAAACTGCTGCATCGTTCAACAACCCTCAAACCATTCGTAAGTACTGGGCAAAGATCAAGGAATATGAGCTGCTTGAGAAGAGAAGACAGGCACTAAATAGTGACACTGCTTCCTCCAAATCAAAGCGTAAGCGTGATGATTCTGACAAGCGTTTGAGAGGCTCTAAGAGACTCAACGTTGCAGAACAGTAAAGTGATGTTTGTCATGGGATATATCAGGGCAACATGCAAATTGCAGTAGCACCTTTAGACTATCACATTGCGTTATATCTTTGTCAGCGAATGCGAAATACAGATCATTGATCGTTTACATAATTCTTTGAATTAGTCAACATGCGTTGAAACTGGTGGGGGCAAATGTGGAATACATCCACTATGATCTGCATTCCGACAGTTCATCCAGTTACCAGATTTAGATATAAACTGTATGTACACTGGATTAGATGTACGATATCGATTTATACTATGATCATGAGAAGATATGGACTTCAGATACGCTAGTACTATAAGATTCATACTATATAAGATATAGGCTATAGATGGCACCACGGACATGGATGGCACTATAGACTTATACTTGTATTCCGACATTAACTACGGATGTTTACCATATCTGGATAGGCACCAAGATTAATGCAATATGAGCTTGTTGCTTCAGATGTGCACTTCATGATCCACGCTATAAGACACATGCTTATATCCGTGATACTAGCTACAGATACTTTATGTACTACAGACTTGTACTATATATGAGACATGCTATAGACATGCATACGATATGCTATAGACATGCCATATATCCAGATACATGCTAAAGATGTATGCTTAGCGATATACACTCAGATATGTACTATTAATATAGACTAAGAAGACTGTACCTATCGGATACATGCTACTAGATCGATATTAATTATCCTTATGGAAAGGATAGATCAGGGTACTTCGGATGAGAGTCTAATTATTCATCCAGACAGAGCTAAATCATGATTAGCTTGCTGGAGTTGTCTTTTAGCATGATTAGACATTAGTTGATCTGAGTTGACTTATTTGTCAATCTAATTAATAGAACTTTTATCCATTGTTATAGTATATAAGAAGGATCATCTACCTGGCCAGTAGAGAGACTTCAGTTTACTTTACACCTGTCAGTTTGATAATAAAATATACCTTTATCAAGTTGACATTACTGTTTTTTTATTCTTTTTTTTCCGTGAATTTTAGTCTATCAAGCCTCAAATTCCACAGTCACTATTTATTTTTTTATCACATTCCCTCTTTTATATATATTCTTTGTCTAATATCCCAATCTCTTCTTGTGGTGTTCTTACTTTTTGTCTAATCCCTCCTTTTTTTCCTTTTGTTCATTCTTTTGTCCTATTATATCAACGTTTGTTTTGTCGGGTATCATATTGAAAGCCGATGATAAGTTGTATCTTGTTCATCATTTTCCTCCATTGTTATTTTTCATTATTGATGAGTGATGTTGATGGCTTATTTAAGATTTATGACAACATATCAAGAAAGTGTAATGCTAATTAACCTGTCATGAACCAAGCTTCGATCTGGTACCTGGATTTAGAACCATGCAGTCCAAGTGTTATGTCTTCTTTATGCTTATCTCATCTCGGTGTTCAGGATTTAGGAGTACTAATTGATAGCCATTAGTAATCGATTAGTCATCATCAGTAATCATTATGTCATGCCAAGCTTTATGCAACCTTATCATGTCAAGTACCTATCAACGTCAAGTATCAAGCCAATGTCATAATTATGTAATTATGACTCATGTTTCAGATTACGAATCATTACGTTTATCCATGCTATACCCATGTCTCAGCACTTATGTCCGCACCTCTTGTCAAGTATAAATACCATGTCCTTTTCCCCTCCATCCTTTCCAGTTGTAGATTATCTTGTATATCTTATTCTCACTTACTTCAAGATAAGCGTTTTGTTAAATAAATCCTCTATTGAAATCAAGTTTTTGACATGAAATTTCGTTGACAGTTGGCAAGTTCTGAGTACGCCTTTCTTCAGCGACAGCCAATTCCAGTCTCATTTGAGGATTGGGTCGAATATACGCATCCTCGCTGACATGATCTTGGGCTTGTCGTTCTTCCTCTGCACTCAGAATCTCGTGGGCATGCTTGTAGATACGTACAAATGGGTTACCACAACGAACCGGGTCATCAATCATTTCACTTAATGCTTCAATGATTGAATCATCTAAATGCTGATTTCTGGGGTTGGCAGATCGACATGCAGCAGCATACTCGGGATCGTAAATGTACAGTTGATTGTACTTTGGAGCATTACCAAAATTCAAGGGTGCTTGCATGTGGTACAATTCGCCATGGGCACTTACTGGAGTAACTCCACCTCTCCTTCTCTCTGGGCCCCTGCTGGCGTAGCAGTGGTACCGAATGAAGTAAAAGCAAACAAAGTATTGTATTGCCTTAATATGTTTCAAGAAATGGGATGAGCGTGGATGGCTTCCGTTGATTAAGCTATTCAAGGGCTCAGGCGGATCTTGCAATAAGGGCAATATGGCCTTTCCTTTTTTACAGCAAGAGTAGAAGAGATTGTTACTTCTGGCTTGACCGGTAGTTCTTGCTGCGTCCCAATGCAATACGCCACAACCATCACATACAACGTCCATTCTTCCCAGATAATGAGGTTGCATTCTTCTAAGCTCTGATTATGAAAGCGGCAAACGCTCTAGGTGCTCTAGGTGGCCTTAATGCAGCTCTCTGTCTGGCGTAGTCTCGGGCACGTTCCTTAAACAAAAAAAAATATATATATAAGGTTCGTTCGAATGTTCGTTTTTCATTTCTTTTGATTTATTTATCAAATTTCTCTATTTACTCGACATGAATCACATTTTCGAAAATTGTAATCTTCAGGTAGAGCAACTCTACAGGTTACACAGTTTCTAGCTTGAACAGGAGGCATGATAATTCGTTTGACTTTAACAAAAAGATATTTCATACACTTTATGCAAATTGTGATGCTTGATGTTCTTGGTGGAGGTAAGCCCCTTCCCCCAAACCCCCTCCCCATTGCCGGCTTCGCCGGTGGCTATGCCCGCCTTTGTTCTGGCTTTCAATACTATTAAGTTTTAAAAGGATATGATTGGATTGTCTATTTTTTTCATAGTTTTCTAGTATATATATTTTAGATATGCTTAGTGATATATTTTAGATAAGCATATTCTACATAAGGACTATGTGACTTATTGCGAAACTGATAGAAGTATTGATGCTCAAAAACTGCATTGTAGTGTGAGTAGTCTATCTTCAGAAGTTGATAACTCGCTTCACTAACTTAATGCAGCTATAGTTTATCAATCATAAATAATCTATAAACTATGCTCTATTTAACGGTATATGCCAGACGGCTCAGTGTAACGGTTTTTGGCGAGATAATATATAAGTAGCATTTTGTAGAAGTTCGCACATGTGGTGAATTCGTAATAAATAAATCGATGATAATAATCAGTTGTCAACTGTATCTAAAAATGAGAGCAAAAAGCTTCTTTATTACAGGGCATCTAGCTTGCTTAAATATGGTAGATCCCTGGTCAATGACTACTACGTTGAGATGGTATATAAATAGCAGGTCACTGGGGCCTTATAGATTGTTGGTATAGCTTATTGAGAGGCCTCCTAAGTCGATACGTTTCATGTAGTGTAGGTGGATCTCGATATCTTGACATTGGGGAGATTGAATGTATTGTAGTTCCTGAGACATCCGTACACACACAATTCACTGGACTTGTAAACATAGATATGATGTGATACGATAAACATCATCTATGCTGCTGCACTGTAAAAGGTGGCTTGAGGAAAAAGTGAATGTAGCCTAAGATGCATGCTTGTATGCAACAACATGCGAACTTCCAATACGAGACGTTTGCAGTGGGCACCTCATGCTACCTCCCCCCTATCTTTCAAACACCGAGGTGTTCGGTGTTTGAGAGATGTTATTAGGATATCCTATTCCTGGGTACCATTTGCTCTATGTTCTGATTGGCTCTTAGCATAGTACCCATAGTACTCAAGCAGCGTGAGTCCAATTTCTGATTGGCTGTTCAAATGATACCTATAATAATAGAATATCCTATTTTTAGGTATCATTTGCTCTGTGTTCTGATTGGCTCTTAGCATAGTGCCCATGATACCCATGATACCTGAGGTACCATTTCTTGACGACTCGCGGCGTGAGTCGTCAAAAAGTGTTATTAGATTTGTTTCCTAAGTTTTGGCAGTATGCTGGGTAAAATTTAAGATTATTTGAACGAACGGGGCAGTTTTTCCCCTTACAGTATAATAGGTATGTTAAGCACAAAGAATAAAAGGATTATTATTTGTAGCTTATAAAAAATGTTCAATATTATAAAAACAAGAAAAGACTTATTTGAATAAGATCAGACACAAAAACTAAAGATTTATCGAAGAAGACAAGAGTTATTCTATTTATACTAAGTTTTGAATGCCAAAGTAGCAATTTATCTTGTACAACGCTTATCACATCTGGTGAACCTCAGTATTTAGATAGCTGAGATGCACTTCAATTATCATAGCTTGTCCATGTTGTTGCACAGCACAGACATATCTACCCATCAAGAATACCTTAATCTTTATAGACAGTTGTAGCCCTTCTGGCACAACAGGGTAGCCTGAGGTAGCCAAGTTCGTATGTGCGAACTTTGCATATGAGACGTTTGTATTGGCTACCTTCGGCTACCTCAGGCTACCTCAGGTTACCTTCCCCCTATCTTTCAAACACCGAGGCACTCGGTGTTTGGGAAATGTTATTAAGTTTTGAAATTGGAGCAAGATTGACAGAGCTGTAAGTGTAAAACTACGAATTGACAAAACACTGGATCCTGTTTTTTTTCGCGCACAGTATTTAGACATTGATCCGTAACAAGAGCTGAGATGACGTTGAAAGACAAGAAACGACAGAAAACCGTATTTCTTACTTTTTCTCCTTTACGAGGGACGTTCAAAATTCATGTTTTTGATATCTTCATACTTGAGAAGTCTAAAATAGCTCACTGTTATTCCATAAATCGATGCAGCTCGTTGAGCGCTATCATATTGTGTATTTTACAACATCATTCTCTTTCTCAAAACAATCTTGATCAAGTCAAAACGGCACTTTCGCGACGCCATTTTTGCATTAATGGTTTTTAAAGACCGACCTTTTCAAATTCCGATTAATTTGGCATGGCAGAGTCCTTGGTTTTGGAAGAGTATTGTGCCTCGTATTACTTATAAAGATGGTTTCTTTAGTCTTCAAGTTTTCTTTTGATATGTTAAGGCATATTTACCCAGAAACGGCGAATTGAAAGATGCAAAATTAGGGTAGCTGAAAACAACCAAAAATAAGCTATTTTCCCGCCTTTTTGATTGAATACCCAGTAATTCTGCTTGCTTGAACGCTGATAATAGCATCTCCATCGCTTCTGAGTGCAATAATTCTTCTTATTTATGATCACATTATGATAGGTAAGCAACTAAGGAATCAGATTAATCTCTGAGAGTACAATGTGATTGCGGGTTTACTTGAAATCGGAAACAAAAAGCAATCATAAAGAATAATAATAATAATAATAGAAATTGATGTATCATTTCTAAACCGGATCTCCAAATGCGTAGAAACAATCAGTTCATGCACCGATCACATCAGATAATAAACTTTGACATGAAACAGGATTCAGTTACGATCCATATCATGGCATGTTCAGGATAATAGATTGGATCTATTATCTTATCACCCAAATCAACCCATCTAATACCTTATCCTCACATCAAATCCCTCAATTCGAATAGTATATAAACCCTCTTATTTTCAATGTAAAAAACGATATTCTTTACCTGATTAATTTCATACTCTTTTTATAAATAATTTATTTCTGATAAATCAGAAATTAGCTAATGGATTTTAAACCAAAGATCTTGAATTCTCAAATAAACAAAGTCAGCATACAATCATAGTAATCACCAAATATATACCTGTGCTTGTTACATTTGCAATAACAGCGACTTCCCTTTGCCGCTCCTGCAGCAATAAAGCATTTCATCCATGCAAGTGATCAAACGAAGCCAGCTTGAGTATTTCAGTATATTACTTCGTTTACGTTACAATGCTATCACAAACAATGAGAGCAGCCAGCAGTAATCGTCATAGAAGACTAGCCTATGTTTCTTGTGATATAATAGGAAAAACTGATTATTTGAGTTACGTTGTATAGTTAGTAGTTCTTAAAGCTGAGCTACCCTGGTATGCATCACATAACAGTAAAAATAAGTTCGCATGATTTAACATGGGACAACCAAATTTCAATAATCAGCTAGAGAACCATCCAAAAAGTTCGTAAACTTTTTATTCGTTACTTGTTTTGTTCTAAAAATGACCATTCTTCATCGTCAATGAAATTTTGCCCCTGTTCAATGTGTTATTCTTGCTCCTTGATATGTTGGATATGCATTATCTAATGCCTCTTCTTTCTCTGTCTTTGCTGCTGCTGATACTAATTTTTCACTTGTATCCGTCATTCCAGCGTAGATAGGTGTTGTATCCTGTCTTGTTGTTTCTTTACACTGCAAACATATATATGCTATGGAATTTTGTTTACTGTCAGATACGCCTTGTATCGTACATAGTAAAGCATTAGCTGTTGGAATCATTAGATGGATCATAGCTCAATAGCACAAATTACTGTGTGGTCAGTAATTTAATAACATAAACAACTACTAGATGGCCTATAATTTAATATTTCAAAGTCTTTGATGATAATATTATTGAGATAGCTCACTTGCAAAAAAAAAAAAAAAAAAAAAAAAAAAAAGTAGCCCTGCCAAAGTACCTCAAATTATCGGTCGTTCCCGAGGGGTACTTCAAACTACCATTTTCCTAAAGGCATTTGCAAGAACATCAAGTGAGTTGGGCAGATAGCATTAATCTTATATGAGATCATCATTTGTCAACAATCTTTAGTAATTGGTGCTTGTCGTTATTTTTACCCATTTCGCTTGTTCATTACTGATTAGTATACGCCATCAATCAGCCATACGTTTGCTACAGTACATTTTTATATATCAAGCTTATGATGAGGTTTTGTTATCTACCCAACTACTAGCCTTCCCACCCGAATTGGCATGGCTTCATTGCATCAAAGACGGCGTCGATATTGGTTTTGGTACAAACGGTGGTAATGTTGAAGTTCCGTCTTCTGGTGGAAGCAATGTGCATAAAGAGAATATAGAAAGTGCTTTGATACAACACCAGCGTACACTTTTTGATATATATAATCTATAAGATTTTACTGGGCTTGAAAACGATAGCTTCTTCAAAAAGCAGACATCAGTACCAACCACGCTTTTGATTTGAGTATTTCAGCAGGCTTCCTCCAAAACCGAACCAATACGTTTGCTGTTAGCGCTTAATCCGTACATTATTGAAACAAATTTCTTAATCGTGATAAATCAAACGAATGTATCAAGTTGGATCTTACTGTATATCGTAGCTTGTTAAATTCATGTCATTGGTGACTCTAAAGTATAATTTGTCTTCATCATAATATTCAGCATCATGACCGTTGTGTTCAAATACGTGCTCATTGGCCGCATCATGTCCATTTTCAATACCTGCTTGGACTTTCTCCATGACATTTACTTTGTCTTCATCAACGGTTTATGGTTGGTCATTGTCAGTGGGTGAAGAACCATTCCTTGAAATAATGGCTTCTTCATTATTCAGATTGACTGCTGTAGCAGCGAAATTCCAGTTTAAGTAGTATACGCTGCACTTCTTCCAGTGTTATTATGAACCAGCTGATTCTTATGTGATTTGTCAGTTTCGCCATTCATTCCGTTGCAATGCAAGAGATTTACCAGAGCGTCGGTCAGAGTAGAAATTGTTTCCTGAAGAACAACGCTGCCGTCTCTATTAAGTGGATTCAAGTAAGTATAGAAAAGGCTTTTTTAGTCTACAATGAATCATTAAAAAGAAAGCTATCAGGTTCAAAATATATCACAATGGAATTTCGAGGTTTAATGTGTTTGAACTGATGCCTGATACTACATGTATAGGTGTATGACCCTGTTGCAAACGTAGAGTTAGCCTGTCGTTAGCTCCGAGGCATGTGGACTCTTTAAATTATTAGGCAAAACGTCAAAGCTCTTGATCGTGACAAACGCTGTTGTTAAGCTTTTGCGTTCCTACTTTCAATCGAGTAGCGAGCTTGATAAAATACTTAAACAAAGCCATATGCAATCAGATCACTGTGATGAAATGCCCAGTAATCTACAGGAATACTTCCTAAATTAAGAGATATTAGCTTACTAGTTCTTTTTGTCTGTTATTATAACACAGTATTTCGATGATGATGACAGTTTTGTGTATATTCAAAAGTTTGCTGATGAAAAAGAAATAGTCGCAGTTGAGTGCAATGTATCGAACCTATGCTATTTATTTAGTAGCACTGTCAATGCGTGATATGCAAGTGACATGTAGAAGAGCCCTTGCCTTCAGGTTACATGGCATTGCAAAGCATCTGAGCAACATTATCTGCTGGCTACCAACAGCAGTCTGTGAATGTATCTGATATACTTCGTTTTTGTTCGCTTCAATAATAGAAAAGGATAGCAGTGATGGCTGATTCATTATTCTTTATTCAGTAAAGAGTATTCGATCTAGACAGGGTGACAAATTGGGACGCCCTTCCATTAATCAGAATGCCAGCTGTCTTGCTGTCTGTAGCTTTGTATCAAATTTCTCTAGTATCCCCCCCCCCCTTGTTTGTTGCTTACAAGTTGCACCGTCGCTGTCTTGTTTTGTAATTTATTCCTGGTGCGCATTTGCTGCCAATGTTGTGAGCGAGTTGAACTCGACCAAAATGCAGACTTGACAATGCCGTCTAGTGTAACAAGCTCTACGAACTTGGATTATAATGGCGCGTGAATGGTTCAACATGCAACGAGATCACCAGGACGCGCTTTTGTTTAAATTTGTGTCAGCCGCGTTTTGGTTTCTTCTGCTTTTTCTTCTTCTTTGCCAATGAATAATCCAAAGCAAGCTGTCCATCCATTCTTTCAGCCTCGAAAACCTCAAAAGCCTTCAAAGGTCAGTTCGCCTCTTACCATACCTACACCTGAAAAACGACATGCCACATCCTCGCAAGGTGCCGCGAATGCGAATGACTCGGAAATAACACCAGCGACAATGTCTGCTCTCCCTTCACCACCAGTATCATGCAGAATGACAAGATCACAGCTACAAAAGCAGCAACAAACAACAACAGCATCTTCTTCTTCTTCGCCTGACAAGTATGTTAAAACCGGAGAGTGCTCTACTCCTTATTGTGTTCCCATAACAAAACCAAAGTTTTACTCAGATACAGTCGAGTATCAGGAACAATTGGATCACGAAGCATATTCTGATTACAATGGCAAAAGAAGATCGTACAAAAAAAAGCAAGCAGCCAATGACCACGAATTCTCGAGAATGAAGCGATGCATTTTTGGTCATGGACACATGACGGAAAAGACATTTGAGCCAGGTTCCTTTCGGTTCCCAACGACAGTTTTCAATACAAACATGCAACAGTACATTAAGGATCACCAACAACAGTATTTTCAGCAGCTCAAACATCAAAGAGAGTGCCACGGCAATTTGAAACAAGGCCATTGCAATAGGGATGTCCGCATGCCTCCAACCGTGTCAGATCAAGATCAGGCGGAATCGTTGCTCAACGCAAGCTTTCCAAACTGGCATACATTTTCGTCCTGCGTGCTGTTACTGCAGCTCATTTTTGACAAGAATCGACCCGTCGACAATAGCAACAAGCAATGGACAGACAAATACAGGCCACGCCATCTCAATGGACTCTTGGGCGAACGACACAATTACCGATACCTCCAAGACTGGCTGCATCAAATGAAGATTGAGCCATTGTCAGCACCCAGTTCTACCACAGACACGGCAAAGAGGCGTCGAAAAAAAAAGCACAAGAAGCTTGTGATGCAGCGTGATGTGGATTTCGATGACGAGGAAGCGTTTCTAAAGAGCCTATCGTTGTACGAAGACGAACAAGATGAGGATTTCATGATGCGACCTGGGAGCAGAAAAGAACTAAAAAAGGAGTCCATGCGGTCCAATATTATACTGCTGGTGGGAGATCATGGCATTGGCAAAACAGCATCAGTGTATACAATAGCAGAGCAGATGGACTATGAGGTATTTGAAATCAATGCTGGATCAAAGCGATCGGGCAAGGACATTATGTCTGCAGTGGGTGAGATGACAAAGAGCCATTTAGTGGCTTTTGGCATTGCGCCGCCAGCATCAGCGGGATCAATGTTTATAGAGAAAACAGGTAGCAACAACAACACAAATACAAAGCCAGGCAAAAAGAAAAAGTTGAACCCTAGCCTTCGGTCATCATTCTCAACAACCACTGCCTCAAAGCCAACTTCGCTAAAGGATTTTCTCGTGAAAAAGAAGCCAGTAGTAGCCGCCAACAATGCACCAGCCATCATACCGCCAACAACAAAGCAAAGTCTGATTTTACTAGAAGAGGTGGATATACTGTTTGAGGAAGACAAAGGCTTCTGGGCAGCTGTAATAGAGCTCTCGCAAAAGAGCAAACGGCCCATCATCATGACATGCAACGGTAAATGGCTGTCTCTGTGCATGTATTCTCAGAGCTGATAGCAAATGTGTCATAGATCCAGAGCAAGTGCCTATTGAAAACATGTCTCTGCAAGTGATTATTGATATGAAACCACCCACTGAAAATGAGCTATTGGCTTATTTATGGCTGATTTGCCTTGCTGAAGGGTATACTGTTGATCCTGCTGATCTGGTGTGTCTAGTCGCATTTTTAGGGAGAGACGTTCGACAGTTGATTCAGACGCTGGAACTGTTTGCTGGGCAAGGGATATTTGAACATTATCTGGGCATCAGCAAGCACATGAGTATTTTAGAGACCAAATCCAGATGTGTGCAATCACGAGTGGCTATTGATACGTTTCGTCTGGCGCGTGCTTATCAACAATTGGATGGCTATGCCAAACAGGAAAAACCCAATGAACTGGATGATATTGAGAGAATATTGGAAAACAATGCGTTTATCGACACATGGTTGGGATGGAAGGAAAGTGGAGCCATGATCCAGGAAAGCGTGCAAGATCAACTGAATGGATGCACGACACTCTGGATGGAGGATGGCGAGGATTCCACTAGCAAGCATACCGCCAAGGAAATTGAGTGTATCGCAACCGTATTGAATAATGCTGGTGTTGAATGGATCATGGATGAAGAAAGCCATTGGGATGAATTGTGTGATGCCAAATCGCTTCATTATGAAGACTATAGAGAAGCCATTGATCTACTGCTGCCTACACGACAACAGCATCTGCCTCAGGAGAGCGTGGTAATGATGGAGTACATACCTTACATACAGCAGATGATTGTGCCTGTGGATAAGCCGTCTAAATCCCGAACCAGATCCAAGCGCAAGCGACTCCATTTACCTTTGAGTTCAGATGCTGTAGCAACCTTGAGCAATCGTCGAGTACCTATAGACGAGGTAAGTGTAGCGAGGCTCCATTGTAAATTCTGTACCTTCTCATCCATCAAATGTGTCCATAGACCCAACTTCATATACAACTTCTTTTCGATTTGAATAAGAGCTTATGATAGTCAAGGTTCTTTGCTCAAAATAAAAGTCTCGGATGATGACCACTGTCTTCCTACACGCATAATTTTATATATTTCAATAATAGCATGCTTTTATTTTGACTCTTGGGTTGTCATTTTTAGCGCACTACCAGTAAGAGCTAGCGAGTGTCATGAGTATGCCCACGTTCAATCAGTATTTTCATGCAATTAATTCGCAATGAGTATATGAAGAATGTGCTCTTCATCATAAACGGAGGAAATTCTCTTTTTATTTGTAAATGCTGCTTGTCAAAATAAGCTCTGCTGCAACAAGTGTAAAGCATCACAACAACTTTGCAGGCTTTAAATGTTTTATTATTTCATACGAGTGTTTATGCTTCGGATGGCTCTCTACTACCTTGGCTTCGGTTCGGTGAGAACCAACCCGCGCAGTTGCAGCTCGCGCTACCGGTTGCCCTTTGCATATCTTAACAGAATACTGCTACTACTTTCATTTTGACCCTCCACTTACACATGAAATCCCTTTATATTATCTGTGGCTCTGATTCTCATGCGATGTACTACATCCATACCCACGTAGCTACTTTATGTACGGGCAAGCAGCATACTGGTATTTCCCCTTTACAGTCCTTAGTGTCCCTGATGCAGCAAAATCTGAGTGCATTTGAACTTCGTTTTCTCGCGTTCAAGGCCGTTTTATATTGTCAGAATAGCACCAAACAATTGCTCTCGACTGGCAGTTACTTATTACCACTATTGCTCAACTTTTTGGGGATAAAAAAAACATGGATGAAATTCGACCAAAAAGCATGAGGTACCTCTCATGGTTTTCATCGAAAATCAAACGATTGCGTTTTTGACCTTGATAATGAAGACTTTTACTATGGTGTATATTAAATAAAAATGTTTCTATCGATCCAAAGTAACCTCTGAAATTATCTTTGTGGGACTTTGATATGTAAAAATTCGACATTTTGGATAGAAACCTCTTTTCATTTTTTTATGAATTGCTCAATTAGTTTATTCAAAACACCTATCTTACTTGGCACCATCGGAAGCGCCTTGAAAAGTACTCCAAGAATGTATTAGGAAACATTGAATGATCAGCACAATTTATATAGTCGAATTTAATAAAATAGTTTGATCAAGTTGAAAAAAAGACAGGATCTGGCCAATCTTCAGCAGACATTAACCGGAGATTAAACCGGTTTTGGTGGCTACTTGCTGCTGGCAAAGCGATGCCATTACCATCATTATTGAGGATAATCGAATGCCTTTGAAAGGAGTCTGAGTATTGAAGAAATTCTACCATCGATTGAATTTTTCTTGACTTCATTTATGATATCGCCAATTAGCCTGGCATACAGAGGAAATATTTGTAAGCTCAATTTCCTTCTTCCATTTCTAATGTGATCACTGACTCATTTCTCTACCGAGAGTCGCATTAAATGCGTAAAATGGCTCTCAAAGAATCAAATCAGTTCCTTTTTCTCATCAACATAATTACGCAATTGATATTGATGAAGTAGGCTCGACAATTTGGGACATTACTATTGTCTTACAGAAATTCGTTCTCAAGCGAGCGAATTAAGACGTTTAAAACAAGAGAGGCACTGCATAGCACCTTCGTCGCCTCCATCATTAACGGCCTCTTTTTCTGTATCAGCATCTTGCAATTATTTCTCTAGTGCTAGCATTTGGCGATGTTGACAAAACGAGGACAAAGAGAGACAGTTTGGAAACATATTGCAAAAGACACTTTCTCAAATCAAACATGGGATTTCTCATCCTTTCTGTTGCTTTATTCCAAATTTTGGTGATTATCAATCTCTCGCTGATTAATCACAGTGTATGTCACTTGATAGGCACTGAAAGATTATCGACCATCAGAAGAGCTGCATAGAGATGGCTTTTTATTTTGAGTCTATTCTCGAGAGTCATGTTCACGACACCCTGGTGTTGTTGTCGATATTTTTAGTGAAACCCAACCCGCATTCTGTTGCCCTTTGGTTTCTATCGCAGGAAGAATTGAATATGACGCGTGATGGCATTCTATCAAGGTAAGCGCTAAGTATTGTTCCCAGCAGGCAAGCATATTCCTACACCACGCACCATTGTCTTGTCTGTAGGACTTGGCCATATTAATCATTGTCCATCCAAAATGTGCAACCATCACTCACACACTGAAATTATGGATTCTGCACCTTCTCCATCAATGGCATATTACGTAAAGCGCTTATTTTCTAAAATCTAAAAAAAGATCAATAAACACCTCTGGCCAAGTTTCATGGCCAAAAAAAAGTTTTCCTGATACGAAATGAGGTGCAAGCACCACCAGCCCACTTTTTTTTTTTTTTTTTTTTTTTCTTCTCCTCTTTTTCTCAAACATGTATTACCAGTGTCATTGTTGCAAACGTACATGTAAAAGAGGAGATCCGTCCATTATCAGGGCGATTGGAAACATCTACCACAAGCAGTGCTTCAATTGCCATGTAAGTAAAACCTCGGTTCCTTGTGTCTCGGAAGCAATTTCGGATTGTTGAAAGAGTAAAGCAGCACGAGGAAATCATATATTGCGAGTAAATTAATACTGATATTTTCTCTCCTTTCTTTCCTCTTCACAACACAGATTTGTAAGTCATCTGTACTTGATCGATTTTACCTGCTTTCAATGGACACCATGGATGTGATAGCATGTCAGCAACACTACTACCAGCATGTCCAGTTCAAATGCCATTCATGTCATGGCCTCATCATGAATGATGCCTTTTGCGTCATTGACGACTATAAATACCACAAACAATGCCTGAGATGCCCTGGTTGTACCATCAGCAGCAGCAGCAACATGTCACACCACCCATCACAACAACTCTATCGTTACAATGACCGGCCTTATTGCCGGTACCATTATTCACTGATTAAAGGAACAGAGTGCATGGGCTGTGGACAAACAGTATTCGAGCAGAATGAGACCTTGGAGAATTGGCACACAGAGTGTTACATGCTGAAAAAGTACTATCATGTGGAGCTAGTGGATCTGCAGATGCCGTACGACTACACAAGCAGACAACAGCTGGAACACACCCAGGACAGCTTTGAGAACCTGCGCTACAAGATTTGGCATATCGCCAGCCAGTTTGAAGATGAAGCCACCCGTATGATATCAGATCTCGCCATGGCTCGCCACCCGGATCAGCTACTGAACACATGTCAATCCCTGTTTGCTCAAATCAGCATCCTCTTTACTGTTCTGGATCTACTGTTTGTTCATGTTACGCATGTCTCGTATATCAAGCAGGTTCAATCCTTGACTCAGCACTTGGTCTTTCTCCTGGACGCTACCTGTCCACAGCAGCAGCATTCATCCAATGAAGCCACTGAAAACAAAGCCCATATTACCGCCAAGATTGCAACACATATTCGACACCTTGTGAGACTGGGATTACAGCAGGCCATGATATTGGTAATTGTTATATACGTATTTGGTTAATTAGCAACGCGAATCTCACCCCTTTAAAAATAGGAACGGAATTTCCGATTAGACATCATTGATGACATGCTAGCATTGTTTATTGATAAGCAGTGTTTGAAATCACTAAATCTAGCCTGTTTAGATCATCACCTACAGCTGCTGGATATGGCCATTGCTCGACTCTTGTTGTTCTTGGATTCAGGTAAGAGCAGACAGCCATGATGTGCTTATTGTTACACATAATGAAACCTATATATAGGTAAAAGACCTGATGAAACTCTGCTATATAAACCCACGATAAATCAACATCAACATGCACCTGCTCTTTCACATCAACACACTCACAAAATGGTCAATGACACTTTGTCCAAATCAAACAGCATCTCTGCCAACACACGCACCCTCAGCCGCATGCAGACCTTTAAGCGAGCACTGACCACGACTTCCCGCAGAAAAAACTCATCTGCCAGCAGCAGCAACACCAGCACCAGCACCACGGCAGCCACTGCTAAACCACTGTACATTTCACTGCCTGATGTGGAGCAGCTACATCAATACCATGCTACGCCGCCCTTGTCGCCGCCCACGACACATGCCACTGGAACAACAACAACACTCGATGCTGTAGTTACCTTGCCTGAATTAACGCTCAAGCAAGACTGCATCATTCGTCACATTGCTCTTTTACATGTAGAGTCACATGTGGACGACTCTGTTCTGATGGATGACCTGTTGAATGGATTGAGCAAAAAACCAGCATCATCATCATCACCAGCAGCCTCATTATGGGGTAAATTAAAGACACACATTTTAACACCTACCATGGAGTATCCATCTCAGCAGCAACAGCAGCCACAAGAACAACTACCATCACCTACGATGACTACCGAAAAGAAGATTGGGGTGTCATTGTGCAATCTCAGTCATGGATCGCTTAAATCACAAGCATCCTCTTCCTCTTGTTCATCTGACTCGTATGAGAGGTGGAAGACCAAGTGCCCCTTGATTGACGCTTGCTTTTCGCCGCAATCGCTGGTGCCTGATTTCTTGAAAGACTGCATACTAGCGTTGATCAGCCAGGACATCACCACAGAGGGCATTTTTCGAAAGAGCGGCAACATTCGTGGCCTCAAGGACATGTGTGAAGCACTGGACTCTCAACCAAATCGACACAAGTGGCTCGATTTCTTTCAGGCACAATCCAATGTTCAGCTGGCTGCATTCATTAAACGATTTCTGAGGGAACTCCCTGAACCACTGCTCACCTGGAAATTGCACAGATTGTTCATCATGTCAAGCAAGGCAACAACGCTGATAGGCGCACTCAGTATCATGCACTATGCCATTTGCATCCTGCCTAAACCCAATAGGGACATTTTACTGACTGTCTTGGCTCTGTTGCACTGGGTAGCTCAGCACTCTGCTGAAAACAAGATGGACTATGAGAATCTGGCGCGTGTCATGGCACCCAACATACTGTATACCAACCAACAAAAGGAAAAGAAGCAGCAATCGTACGATTTAAAGGACATTTCGACTTGCCATGGCGAGATTTGGGTGATATCCACCATGATCCAGCACTATGAAAAGTTCTTCCAGGTAACGTGCACTAAACGTGCTTGATACACGCATCTCTGACTAACCATGTTGGCACTAGATTCCCAGCGACTTTGCTGCCCTGTTGGAGCATCCGAGAATGATGGACTATACCTGCACCAACTCAGTCGACCTCACAAGCACCAGGCATTTTGTCAAATCCTATCAGCATCTACTCAAAATCAAAAAAGACGCCATTTCCACCACACTGGTGCTACCGCCCTCTCCCTCCCATTCATCCAGTAAATAATACCAATGTATATACCCGCCCTGCCATTCATTTTCCCATCGTTTTCACACACTTGCAAGCCAAAAAAAATAAAATAAAATAAAACACATCCATATTGTAGTGAATTGAACTTTTTTACATGGCATCGTATTTATTCTCGCACATAGCAAACCATGCAGCATGTTCTTCATCTGCCTGCTGTTTGGCAAGCTGGACTACTGCCTTGGATTGTTGAATGTACTTGGAAACAGCTTCTCGCATGGTCACTGCATCCTCGTCGTAAATCTGAGAGACCAGCATGTCGGTTTCATCCACCAATGTCTGAGCACTGTCGTACATGTCGTCCAGCCATTGTGTTGAGGGTTGTTCAGCCTCACGGATACAGCGACGCTCAATCTTTTGCATCACAAAAACAGCCATATCGACTAATTTAGCGCATTGCTTGGCAATCTCCATTTCCTCTTCACTGAGTTCAGTCTCCTCATCCTCTTCTTCGTTGTCGTCAAAGCCCTCGGATTTGTCTTGTCCAGATGTGATTTCATGCACCTCAGATTTGGCATCTTTCAATGTAGCCTGCAAATGAGCCCATGCAGCCAAAACAGCCTCCTTGTTGGTTTTAGGCAGTTTCTTCATGTCGCTGCAAGATTCCCAGAGAGCAGCAGTAGGTACCATGTACGACATTTGATGTTCCTTTTTGTTCTCCTCAGACATGAAGCTGGTGCACAGACTGATGATACCATGTAACAAGTCGCGAGTGATGGATCGATAAGCTGCCTTGTACATTTTACCGCTGCGGTTGGGCACAGTGTTGTAGAATCCAACAATACGATACACTGTATTGCTCACTTCGCTGATCATGTGGATCGAATCTTTGGGTTGACGAGGAGGCTTGCAGGATAAAGTAAATTTTGTGGCATTGTGTGAGAGAATCTTTCCGAGATTAGCTTGAGGAATGTTAGCAAGATGATGGCGTCTCGTTTTGTCAAGGCTTACCCATTGTCTCTTGAAATGACACTGTGTTGAAATCTGACATGTCAACTTCTCGGTCCTTTTTCAAGTCCTCGAGGTACACGACACACATTTTGCAGCATGCTTTGAGCTTGTCTATCAGCACCGTAGTTAGCAGTGTGTTGCATCAACAAACTGATCCGCATTTACCTTGAAAATCTTGTTCGGTAGACATGTTTCTTTGTTGAATTATAGGTTTAGATAGATCAAGGTAAAAAAAATCAAGAAATGGAAAAAGAAAGCGAGTAACATGCAGCCAGTCACCGAAGAGAGGATCTTGTGCCTAAGATCAAGCTTGATCTGAGAGCAGACACCTTGACAATGATCCTCTCTGTCTCTCTCTCTCACACACACACGCACGCACACACACACACACACACAAAGGTTGATTATTCAGAAGCACTTTGGCAATGGCAGTATAAAAGATGGACGAACAGATGGGCTTGACTATCTACATAGATGGTACTTTATATACTATCAAAAGAACATTTCACATGAATATACAATGATGACTTCCTAGTCTGTTAGATGCTTGCCCTCTATACTACCCCACCTACCAGTGCAGCTCATCGATCAGGGCGCAAGCACTTATTTTGCCCCTTTAAAATCACTACTGTGATAGATACTCCTCATGTTAAACCGAACAATTAATTAAAATAACCATGTTTATTGTTGCACGAGATGATCCCTGATATAATGAGTGTATTTTAGCTGGATACGCATCGAGTTGTTACTTTTTTTAATTTTATATATATTCATCTATCTGTCCGTATTTATTTTCCTCATGTTAGAACATGTAGGTGATTTCCCTCCAATTCGCATATTCGTGCAACTGTTGTACAGCTTCCAGCGTTTGAATACATGCAATTTATACTAACATGGCGTCATCTATTCTGTGTATAAATAGGGGCATGTATTGCAACAGAAGAAATCGGAAGAAATACAGCAAGACTTGAGAGCCAGGTTTCTAATGTTCCACTTGTGCACAGTGGCAAAACACCATGCAAGGCATCATGATCCATTCATGTTGACCTCTATAGATATAAAAAAAAAAGGAGGAGGAGAAGCGGGCCAGATCACTCATTATAGCATATGAAATGTTTCTTTCTCTTTCCCATATATAGGAGACTCTCTTCCAATATATGTATTTATACATTTATACTAACAAAATCATTGCAATATACTGTCCCTTGATTTGATTTTATGTAAAATATGACTAAAGACACTGGGCAATAACCCCTCTGCTTTTTATTTGTAGTAAATAGATGATACACAACACATTTCTGCTGTACTTGATGTCTATGTTCATCAGTGCAGGCTAATGAAAACAGTGTGGTAGGACGTGTTGTCCCACCACACTACGTAAAATCAATTTTTTTGAGCTCTGTCTCTCATACTCTGCACTATGCTGCGATAGGCTGTAATGCGTGCGCTCGTGCTTTTATGGATTAGATTGATTTATCCCAGGAATGTATTGACATAAGGGATGCCGGTGCATATGGACCGTTTGTTCCACTCAAATCACAGTGATATTGTTCTTTCAAAAAGGGACCTTGAAGGAGAGATGTGTAGTTCTGATTTGCTCTTTAAAGATTTGCTCGCTAAAGATATTTGCTGTCAAATTTAGATAGATGATGGCACTTTGTCTTCATTAAATGTTTGTCCCAGACGAGGCGACAAGAATGATGCATAGATCGACGACGGGTATGTCTCTTGATCAAGTAAGATATAGCTCCAGTGCACCTCCCTCCCTACACTCATCAGCTACTACAAGAGGCCACACACATAGAAATCCCTACTTTACTTGTAAAGGATGTTTCTCCGATATCAAGAAGAGTACATGAGAGAAGCATACCAAGCAGTACATATATATACATATAGACCCTATCTGTCTCCCCTAATTCATGTCTCAAGTGCTTGCTGTAGCGTCATAACGAGCCATATACAGTGCTGCTGCTGCTCCCCTCGTTGTCATTGTGCCTTCCATATTGGATTGCATGGTGAAAGCTATCCATGTCAAGCTAGTGCCGAATAGAAAACAGCAAGTTTGATCCTGTTACCGGATTGCGAATAAAGGGAGAAACTTGGTTAATTGAAACCATATAGACATATATAACATTTGAGACATCAGGGTCTAATAAATATACATCATATTGCACCATGGCAAAGTAGTAAAAATCATCATTCCCACATCTCGTGTATACATAGAACTTTTTAAAGTTCTTTATCCCGCCTTACATCAAACAGTGTTTCCCTCTTCCTGCTCCTGCTCCTCACCTTGCTCCTCGTTTTCTCCCTATAACACTGTGGAATTTGATGCCCCTCGCTGTTAGGTCCCCTTCTAAATCTAGTATTATATTTTTTTTTTCAGTGTGTGTATTTTGCATGTATGTATATATACATCTATCCCCTTTGTGTAATACACTCCTTGCTGGCGATTTCTAGTATAAATAGGGCGATCCCATGGATCCCAAATTTCAAATCATCATACCCACCCAACACTCTCTCGCAAACACACAAACACTTGACTCTCTCTCCTCCTAGCCATTATGTCACCCGAAATGTTAATGCAGCCCTTTGAGCAATCCTTCAACGCAATGTCGCCTGCTACACCACAAGGTTACTATGGTAACCATCTTGTCAACACGATGGAATCAGCACTCAATGACAACAGCTACTTTTTGGGTTATCCTCAGCATTATTACCAACACCAAGCCTACCCATATCAACAGCAGCAGCAACAACAACAGCATCATATGGACGCCAATGGTGATTTCAGACCTTCGTTCTACAATCCCTTTGAAATCAAACATCGCAGACGCACATCTCGCGCACAGTTAAAGGTCCTTGAAAAGTCCTTTTCAGAAAACCCTAAACCCAATGCGACAGTTCGCCGCATCCTTGCACAGAAACTCGACATGACTCCTCGTGGCGTGCAGATTTGGTTTCAAAACCGTAGAGCCAAAGCTAAATTATTAAGACGCAAATCAGGACAAGACGGAAACGAGCAAGAAGAAGAACAAGACGCTGAAAAAGAGTCTAAACCACAACAGCATCAGGATGCCTCGCCCGTGTTATTCACGCAATTCTTCAACAACCTCAAGACCTGGGATAGCAACAATGCGCGCTCCTTGGCAAAGGCTGCTGCTGCTTCTTGCATATTTGACAATGACAGCTGCGACTTGTTGAATGGACAACAGCAAATGATCAAGTTTCCTATTCACCCTTTGGCACCTGTCATTGATCAATCCAACTGCTCCTCATCAGCACCAGAAGATGAATTTGGCTTTATGAACATGGAAGATTGGAGAAGAAAATCATGTCCTGCCTTGGGCACCCTGGCTGAACAACAGCAACCCTTTTTTCAGGTATGTGTATTTGCATGTAGACCTCCAATTTACATACTCACACTCTGTACTAGATGGATCCTACTGCCATCACACACCACACTAATATGAACAGACGCATGACAGCATTTGATGAGACAGACGCCACCAAGCATCACTTTGTCCAGCCTTTCCCCATCATGAAATCCTCCAATAGTGAATGTAGCACACCTCGATGGAATAGCACATCCTCTTCATCCACATCTTCCTCCAGCCATAGTCCATCCAACATGGACTTTTACAGTATCAACTACTCTCCCATGCCACAACAACTCACACCTATGCTCTCCACTGGCTCGCCGGTATCCTCTCTTGATGGCAGCGGCTACTATGATTCCTGTCTCGATTTACTCATGAACTGCAGCCCATCCACCAACGACAAGTAATTAAGTCTTAATTAAATAATATCAACAACCCCCTCGCCCTTCATTGCAAGCATATGAATTGTTGCTTTTTTATATATGCCTTTTAGTTTCTCATATTACATCATACATTACACTGCATTTTCTCTCTCTCTCTCTCTCTCTCATATACATACACTCTCCCTCTCTCTCTCTCTCTCTCTCTCTGCCCCTTTTCACACAATCCCCCCCCCTCCCCCAATTATGCTTTTTCTTCTTAATATTCATACATTAATATATATATAAATCATATATAGAGCTACGAACAGTATTCATCATTCATTTCCAGTAATAAACTTGTGATTGTTGCTATTTAACCTTGGATCGCACGTAAAATAGATTGTACGCGGCCTTTGTCTAGTATGATTGCGCTGTTAGTGAATGATATGACAGACAAATCAACGCACTCGCTTACCACCACTTTGGATTCCTCCACCAGGTACATTTTGCTGTCATCAAAATAGTGCCATTTGTCGCTGTAGCCATCTCTAACACAAGCAGTATAATGCCCTCCGCTGATGGATCCATAATGGTTCTATGAGAGAGAGAAAAAACACGAGGTTATGAATCCATCGTTGATCTGTGTAGGGATAGCCAACTTACCGATACAGCATATAGATCATACACAAACGAGGGTCGATCTTGAGGTGGTGAAGGGGTCATTGATGTCGGAACATAACCCGATAGATCCAAGCCCCTAGATATACATGTCGGTAAATAGGGACATGTCAAGGAGTCTTTCTCTCTTGTTTACATACCTTGTAGCGCATCTCACTGTGGCATCCAGCTTGTTTCTAAAGTGCCCATCCATCGAGAACCGTTTCAAATGGATCAGCAACACATCGGGCAATCGAGTCAGTGTCAACTGCTTGGTCGCTTTACGTTTCTTTTCGCATTTGGGACATCGCCAGGCGTCTTCTTTATCCAGTGTCTCTTCCTTGACAAAGTAGTCTAGGCACTGGTATAAAGTGACGCTGGACAACCGCAGTTTTTTGCTTGGTATAGGTAGCGAGAGAGACATGAACGTGTTGTACGTAGTGGATGTCTAGCGTAGAAAAAAGTATGAATATACGCGACTCTCTTTGATATACGACAAAGAACAACTCACATGTTTGCAAGTGTAGCATATAAGTCGGCTGCGATACTGTCCTTGAAACAAGCTGACGATGATGCTAGAATTGGTCGCCACATAGCGATCCCACGAGAGAGCGCTGGCTTGCCAGTCAGGTAGTTTCTCGAATTCAGCATCGTCTGGGATCAAGGGCGGCGGTAGTCCCTTGTTGCTGATGTTGGTATTCAAATCCTCGTGCAGGCCATCTAGTAGAAATATCAAAAACTCTTGAGAATCATGCTGATCGTTGTTCCTGAAAAGAGGCGCAAATCGCATGATGGTCTCTCGAAACGTCATGGGCGATATAAACTTGTAGTTTTCACTCCACATCGATCGCACCAGCACAGCAAAGGCCTCTACTAGGGCACCTCCAGTCCCCTTTTTGTTAACTTTGTTGATATGTTGTCTATAGACACCAGCTAATGGCATAGCATGGCATTAGCATGTCACTCCTCTTTTCATAACAGCAAACACTTACATGTCAAATACCTTGCCAAGGGAACGGTACCGCTCAAGCACTGAACAATCGAGTTCATGTAGCATGTGTTTCCCAAGTTCTTTAATCCAGTTGTTCCAATCGTCACCACAGAATTGAGTTGAGAAAAGGAAGAGCTGATGATTGGGCTGCTGGAGGAATGGATGTTGTTGGTAGACACATGATGGAACTCTGCTAAAGCAGATGGCCGGCTGATGGAGACGGTAGGTTCAGCAGATGACGGTCTTGTCTGTATTTGGAGGTTGGTGCTCGTTGCTGATGTGGGTGCTGCCTGTGCTGTTGGTGGTGGCGTGGTTGTCTGTCCATGATGATAGGCCATGGGTGGTATATCGTATAGTTTACTCGTGGTGGTTGTAAAGCCGTTGAATGGATTATCTATAAATGTTCTACGTCTATGTAATTTTGGATAAGAGGGTGGTATAGGGCTAATGTCTCTAGATTGTTGTTGCTGGGCGGGCAATTCGTTGGATACCAGGAGCTCAGGATATCTTGTTGTTTGCGATTCTTTGCGTGGAGCAGTGGGAAGAGGCTGTGGTTTTGAAATAGGGTTGCTGCTGTAGTGCTGCATGGGCGGATGACTACCACCCTTGCCAGTAAAATAGTCGTACAGTGAATGATGCGTGTCATGCTCTCTGGAGGAATGTGTGCTGTTACTGCTGGTACTGCTGCTTGACTTGAACCAGTGCTTCTTTTCTTTTTGAGTCGGAAATCGATACACTCCTCGTTCACCTACCATTGACATCCACGCATCAAATCCACCTGCCAGCATCTTTGGAGGGTGCTTGAGCTGTCCAGATGCCAATGCCCGTCTCATATTGTACGCTGGTTTGTAAGCTGTCTCCAGTGTCTTGCTATTCTGGTCGTAATACACAATCAAATCAAAGCGGGCTCTCTCTGCAAATAACGTCTGTTCAGCCTCTGGATTCTGCAGTAGGGATTCTTGAATCTTGATCGTCATGACGCTGTGCACGCATTGGATCAGTTCAACACGATAAGGTCATTCAATCATCAGCCTATACTTACTCATGTTGCAGCACGATAGGCTCGACTTGAATGATCCACTGATGTTTGATGCAGCCATTCTTGAACGCTTCCCTTGTTCTGACATCAATTAACAGAACACTGGGTGGACTTGTCTTTGTAGTGATCAGCTTGGCCAGTTCAATAGGTTCAATCACTGGCATATCGGAGAACTGGTTGTTTGTCCATGATGGCAGCTGAATGACATGATTCTCGGACAGCTGTAAATTGGCTGCGTTGTGCACCAACTGATTCATGCTATATTGTGGTATCTGAGTTGTCGGTGCTACTGTTGTTGTTGCTGCTGCTGGCAAATCATTGAGCGAGTAATGTGGATAATTTTGTGGATCATGGCTTGGGATGTAGGCGTAGGATGCAGTTTGTGTCATGGCATGGGTGGGGTTGGTATGAAGATAAGGATTGGTGTAGTAGGGCTGCTGGAGCTGGTTTTGCTGTCTCGATAAGTGATACCAGGCTTCAATTCTCAATGCCAAATCCTGTAGTAGCGCAAATATCTCCTCGTTCGTCCTCTAGCAGTAAGCATGTATCAATGGACCGATCTTGTTCTGTTTCTAGGTCATACGCCTACCTTTTTCAAGCCAAGAAACACTGGATCCTGTCTCACTTGATGATAGCACGAATGAAATTTGATAATCTCCACCATGATACTACATGTCAGTGGGTGTGTTAATGCAGATGTCGCATCGTGTATGCAAAGGGTCTTACCTACAGCCTCTCATATACGAGACGTAAGCACTTTCCAGGTCGTTGTTGAGGATAGCTGAATCTCCCTTGGTCTACTGTCAGCAACAGGCGAATGACGCCCTCTTATGATATTCCACCTTACCTGCTCGTACAGCTTAATAACCGAGTTGACCCATCGTTTGACGCCATAGACTTCTGTGTCTGCCTTGTCCACAAATGCCCTTTGTCTCAAATCATCAATCATGCTGGACGGTCTATGATGGATATCTACATGGTTGTTCAAAGATGTAGACATAATGAAGGAATGAGAAAAAAAAGCGTAAAAATACAAGATGCGTTTTTTTAAAAAGTTCAATTTATTTAAATAAGGAAAAACCTAAATGCGAAACTCAACAATCAAATCTATTGCTTTTGTAGGCGAAGAGAGGGTGCGCTATTGTTCTCAGGGTCAGCCGTGTATTTGCCAATCCATTCAAGCACTGTCCATATACGTTAGTTTCAAGAAAATCAATTGAATTAGATATTATGCTTACCTTCTTTGTGCCATTTCAGCGAGTTGGCTGGCTTCAGCACCCAGTGGTTCTCATCAGGGAAATACAGCAAACGAGATGGGACGCCTTGGCGTTGCAATGCTGTAAAAGTGGACAGTGATTCACCAAATGTCAGTCTGAAATCATTGCCGCCATGAATCACCAGCATAGGTGTCTTCCAGTTTTGCACGAAGTTGGAAGGAGACCATCTCTCATAGCCCTCTCGCTTGTCGGCATGAACAGGCGATCCGCCAAACTCCTTCTCGGCAAAGTAGAGCTCATCTGTGGTATAGTAAACTTGTGTGGTAGAAAAGACGCCATCGTGATTCACAAGCGCCTTGAATTTGTTGCTGTGGCCATTCAGCCAATTTGCCATGAAGCCGCCATAAGATCCACCCAAGCCAGCGACACGCTCTGCATCAAGATAGTCAAACTTGTTGAGTACATAATCAAGGCCTGTCTCCAGATCATAGAATGGATGAGATCCCCAGTTTTGTCCAATAGAATCAGTGAACGCTTGACCATAACCTGTGGATCCATGGAAATTGATAGCGACAACAGCGTAACCAGCACCAGCAAAGATCTGGGGGTTCCAGCGAGTAGACCAGTTGTCGTTCCAGCTGCCTTGGGGTCCACCGTGGATCAAAAAGGCAACAGGATACTTTTTGCCTTGTTCAAAGTGAGCTGGCTTGAGATACCAGCCGTGCACCTCTTGATCCATAGCACCAGTAAAAGTAATGTCCTCAGGTTCTGAAAACTCAATAGTGGCCAATTTCTCGGCCAATCCACTCTCAATGGCCAAGGGCTTGATTTCTTTGGTTTCGACATTCAACACATGAGGAGCCACAGGATGCTTCATGGAGCTAGCGCCGTAAAAGATGTCACCAGAGGGGAGTACAGATAAACCAGCAGCGTACTTGGTTTCGGTCAAGGTGTCAATGGATTCCGTGTCGAGGTCAATAGCAAAGATCTTGTTGCGACCCTTTTGCTCGGCAGTGACGTAGAGTGTCTTGCTGTCAAGGGAAGAGGTTACCTCATGAGGAGAAGAGTCCCAGGACTCGGCAATGACTTTTCTGGACTCGGTAGCAGGATCATAGACAACAATACGGTTGCGATCAGCTTCATACTGGGGTGTGTACATTTGAAAGTAGACCAACTGGCCAGCTTGCGTAAAGTGAGGATTCGAAGAAGCAGCAGGGATGTCCTTGTTGATGGCCACAGGCTCGTCTTGACCGCTGGTGGACACAGTGTAGACATGGGCCGATGTTTGCCAGGCATTGTCCTCAGAGTTGATCTTGGCCACAAAGGCGATTTGAGAAGCATCCGGAGAAATATCATAATCACTAGCATCGCCTTGAGGAAAGTTGGGCGATTCCAATCCAGTGTGTCTCAACACATTGACAGGTCTACCCTTGAGCTGATACTTGTCATCGTTGACCTCGAGATGCACCACAAAGATGTTGTTCTTCTTTTCCTTAACATAGCCATCCCAATGTCTTACCATAAGCTGATCATAAACCAAGGATGTGTCCTTTTTGTTGGCTTCAATCTCCTTGTCCTTTTCTGCTGTGCTCTCAAGATCCTCAAATTCGTTGTAGACGGCAGCAGAGAATGCCAACAACTTGTGCTTGATGTTATATTTGACGTTTTCAACGGAAACGGGGAAATTGGAGAGACGGTAGGTTTCTTTGTCGGCTAAATTGAGTACATGGAGCTGATCTACCTTGTCGTCTAAATCTGCTTGATGGTGGAAATAGGCGATATGCTGATCATCCAAGAAGAAAGGCTCGGTATCAGCAGTGTCGAATGAAGGCTTGGTCAATTCTTGGACAGAGTTTTCCTTGACATTCAAGAGGTAGAGGTTGCGAACAGTCTAGCACATATGGCATCATGTCAGTGCCTTGATTTCCCTCTTCCGAATAACACCGAGAATACGGAGCTTACCTTGGCCTGCTCAATGTTGTATGCTGATTGTGAGTAGACTGCAAATGTGCCATTAGGCGATGTCACCGGAACACCAGGCCTTGCTAATTGAATCAGATCAACGGGAGTGAATCGCTCGGCAGCCATGACAACCGATGTGGATATAAAACCGAAAAGAAAAAGCGTGCTTTTAACCAGCATTTAGTCTTGTACGCGTATGTTATTTATAAAAGAAGAAGAACGAGAAAAAAAGAGATCTGGTTTATTATATATTGGAGAGGAGATTTTCCTGCTGTTGGCAATTGTTTGAAATGCATTTACTCTTTCGGGTAGATTTTGCCTTTTATGGCAGCATGTCAATTAGTACCTGTTTATCAAGCAAGAATATGAGTATTATATAAACTAGCCAATCTATCTTGCTACGCTCGATGTCGGCGTCGCCTTGCGGGTTCTCGCTAAAGACGTTTTAAGTCAGGTATAATAAAATTTTGGTATATCAGGTATATTTTAAACAATCAATTGTTAGTAAAAGAAAGATCATTTCAGAACCAAAAGGAGGAGGATGAGAGGAGGTATCCCCCTTGACACCTTTTTTTGCTTACAGGCTGATATCAAACAAAACCTATTATTGAAACGATGTGAAAGAAAATTCAAGTTTTATGCAACATTGGTACACCGCAATCTCCATTTTTTGGTAGTAGAATGTCATACCATTCGCTGCTGCTGCTGCTGCTGCTCTTCATATGGCGACATAAAGCTGGCCATGCGCAAATACAGGACTTGTGTAAAACCCTCAGCGACTTCTTTGAGAGATTGTCATTGCGAAAGACATTTTTAGAGGGAAACCCTCTCTGAAAAAAGCAAAGATAAAAGTATTTAGGTTAAGCAATTTGTCCTTTCAACTCCATGATCCCATTTAATCAGCATCGCAATCATCATTGTCATCATCAGAGAGACATTTGGGTCAGCCAACAGCAGCGACGCCTGTCGTCAAATTTTTTTAAATTCTGCTTATTTTTCTGCTCAAGATTGGGCAGATTTTAGCTTTTGTCGACTTCTTTAATCTATTCTGTGATATTTGACTATACAAATTGTGATAATCATACGATGCTTCCTAATACATCCCAAGAATACTTTTCAAGGCGCTTCCAATGGTACCAAGTAAAATAGATGTTTTGACTGAACTTATTGAGCAATTTTAGAAAAAACAAAATAAGGTTTTAGTCCAAAATGTCAAAATTTTGTATACGAAGACTTCATAAAAGTGGTTTCAGAGGTTGCTTTGGATCGAGGGAAACATTTTGATTCAATATATGCCATAGTAAAAGTCTTCATTTTCAAGGTAAAAAACGCGATCGTTTGATTTTTGATGAAAATCATGAGGGGTACCTCATGGTTTTTGGTCAATTTTTGGCCATATTTTTTGGGTCCCCAAAAAGTTGAGCAAAGGTGCCAAATAGTTTCTTCTACTCCAGTACAATTGTTTGGTGTCACTCCAGCGGCTCAAAAATGTCTACATGTCAAGATATGAAGGCTTGAAGGCTGTCAAAACTGGCTATGTTTTGCTTTGTAGCTTTTATTTCCATGACGGCATGAATCATATCTTGGCAACTGTAATTTATTGGAAGAGCAGCTCTGTAAAGAGAGGATAGTGCATTATACCAAAGCTAAGAGTATGATTCATGACGATATTACAGAGGGAAACACAGAGAACTGCCTTTTTTTTAACCATTTGCTTCTTGCAGGGGGAAACATAATGACCCTCTTTATCAGAGCCGCCGTTAGACGAAGCAGGAGTAAGGCCTTCATATACAAAGTTCAGCAGTTGTTGACGTTGCGCCTCCAATAATGTCTAAAAAAAATGTTGTTACTGTCAATATCTCTATTTGCATCCTTTAAATATCAATTCAACTCTACAGTACTTACACGAATCAGCCAAAGCTGTGAAACTAAAGCGGGCAAAGAGGGAATCACGATCTTGGTGTGAATAAGCTTGATAGAGAGCTCTCCTTGAAAGATATATGGGCCATCGAACGTTGGTTGCTTCAAACTGTAAACATGCAGTGTATTCACTGTAGTAATTTGTTAAAAGCCGTGATAGGATAGCATGTGAATTGGATGACTTACAGTAAACATGAATACCGTACACTTTCAATACCCTCTTTGTCTTAATGGGTGGCCTGCCTTTTGTTGAAACAATAGTATCATACATGTAGCGAAGGTTCTTTGCCGTTTTCTTCTTATCCTCCAGAAAATGAGTAGTATATACCTTATTGTTGGGCCCCGAGATCTCAAGAATTACCACTTCAAGATCGAAATGCCTGTTGACTACAATCGCGTCAATTTTTGAAGGAGTTGTCGAAGCACCATCGTTAACAAGGACCTAGTTTTCACGTTCCTTTTTGCAGCGCAAAGTGACCTCAGCCTTAAAATATGCAGTATAATGAGCATCATCTACACGATGTTCAATTCATGCCACTCACCATTGGAAGCGATAGAGATCGATTGGGAGCAGCAAAGAATTGAAAATGGGCCGGATGTAGCACATTAAATAGGTGGTCTTGTTAACAGCATTTCTGTAGATATATTCTTCGGTATCAATCTTTGCACTGTAATTGTTATATTTATCAATACGATGCAGCAATAAGACTCATGCGCATTTCCTGAACTCACTATACTTTGCAGAGGTTGAGAACAGTTTGCCATTCGTCATTAGAGGAAGCCTTGTGCTTGTTCAGCTTCAGCCGTTCCTTTAAGGTTAACATTTCACACTAAATAGGTACATGTAAATAAGCCGTCTTTAAACATACGAATGTTACCAAGCAATCCATACATTTCCTTTCGATAAACCACTGGCTCAGCGAGCGATTTCTTTTCTTGGCTTGTGAACAATTTGATGTGAACGTTTTTCATATGCGAGCTTTTCATCGTGCACATGGCGAATACTATCTTGAAAGTCGTTGCTTGTGAAGTCGGCAATTCCGGTAGAACATAAGACTAAATGTATATTATTAATTTCTCCATTGGAAACGTTCCTTCGACCCCTCACTTGCAGTATGACAGCGTGTACCTCGACAACTAATTCAGGGCATTGCAAAAGGCACATTCAGGTTTCAATCCTTCTTTCTCCCTCTGTGTGCGCCTTCTCCCGCTGCCTCTCCTTCACCGTCCAGTCCTTTATTTCAACCATTTGTTGCTCACCTCGCAACTGACAACAGCCTTGCTATGACTTCCATTGACTGAAAATCCAAATCGTTTCGGCAGACATGCTCTCCTACTTCTGTCGTTCCTCAACGATTGGCTGCCATAGCATCTTCTCAATGGTCGTTTTTCTGGTCTTTTTCCTTAACCATAATCCAAAAAAAATGTTGTCTATCGCTTTACTCATTGTTCACTTGTCTACTTTGTGCGTTGTCTGTTCCTTAGCTGACGATTTCACTGACCACTTCCTTTTTGAATGCCCACTCAAGGCAGCGGTTTGGCAGAGTGTTATTTCTGAGTTCCTCTGGCCCACGGTAACCATTGATGATATCCGCCATTCCCTCCTAGACTTTTACAACATTCATTATAGTCAACGGCCTCGTGCTTCCTCTCATCATATAGTCATCATTGTGATGTCTAACATTTGGAAGGCTCACTATCAATTTATCTTCGATCATATTTCCTTCGCTCCCGCCGCTTGATTATAGTCCTGCTACTATAGCTTACACGGAGCAAGTGATAAAACCCTTTAAACTGAATGTATATTAATCACTCAATTCGCTAAGAGGAAAATAGTTCAATTGAAGCAATACTTACTCTTGAGGTTGGAGTTTTGGCTGATAGACAGCCTTTGCTCGCCACTCACGCATTCTGCTGACTAGAATTAAAGAGGACGCATGAGCAGGTTCCTCAGCAAAGGAGACCTTCAAAAATATACTCGCTAATTGAAGACACACGTAGTTGTATGGAATGCAATACTCACCTCCAACTGGAAATCATCAACAGCATCCACAGCAACATCAGCAGTAGTAGCGGTGGTATGACGAGTGGGGGCAGCAACAGTTTTATTAGCAAAGTGGCTAACATTGTATGAACCTGTTAGTTACACATTTTTACAACAGTATCGTCAATCTTGATGTACGTACGCATAATTGATAAAGCTTCTCGCGTTGACATTACCAAAGCTCGCTATTGCTTGAGTGTTAATAGTACCACCATCTGTCTGGCTTGTCTTGGTAGGCTTGTCATAACGTTTTATCAATGGCTCCCACTTGTCTCTCCAAATAGTCGCGTCTGGAATGTCGTTGAAGTAGAGTTCTCATTTGACCATGTTTACTACAGTGCTGAAATTCCAAGGCGACGAGCATTTGAGATACGTTTTTGTAGATTTGAGCTCTAATGTGCCCATGCTGAAGGGTTTATAATAGATGGAGATGTGAAAAAGAGGGCTACAAGAAACAAAGCCTGTGGAGTGTCAGCATCATTCTTGATTTATGATGAATTGGACGTTTAAATCCAGGATGCTACACAATGATCTTATTCCATCAGGAGTTTTTCTCTTTAGGTATAAACTATATTATACTGATACAAGCATTTGCGAAGAAGCAAAATTACGATAACTGAAAGCAACCCTTGGAATGGCATCGTACATAGGATATATCTCTTTGTGATCAAGGAAAGTACCTCGTTTTGTTCCGATTTCATCTTTGTAAAGGCTTTTGTCGTGGATACCTAGGCTCCTTTAGTTCCAGCACTGTTTTCGAGCTGTGGGCTTCTGGGTCTGTCATGCAAGCAGCTTCTTATTGAGTTGAAAAATGGTTCATGGAATCCACCCGTCTATAACAAGGCTACCTGATGCTTGCGATAATGCAAACAGGAGGGAAAGGAACAACGGATGTTCGGATTGAAATGGGAGCCATCGTTGATTCCAAGTGGCGTGTTGATATGCACCATGTTATCCCAAGGATATTCCAGAGATAAGTATATATTATACATTATTTTACAGCTGAATTCTGCTAAATTGTTCCTGTTACTCACTTAAATAGATTCAAGGTATTGTCTTTGATGTGAATCAGATTAAGCGGTCTCGTAGATCATTAAGCTATCGTGTCAGCTTCAAGTGCAAATTCTGTCCGTTGATCTTGTACAATCAAAGCTAATGCCGAGACCTCATCTGTGTGCGTTTGTGAATGTATTTGCTGTTCTAACTTGGTTATTTCAGTAAGCATGATGGATTGGAAAAGATGGACATGGAGTATCCTCACCTAAAACTTTTCTTTTTATAGTGCTTCTCAATACAACTTTGCCAGCATCTGCAGCGCAATTCAACAGCCAAAATGTGTACCACACAACAAATCTTGCCAAGCATAATCCCGCAATTGCAAATATCTTGGCTTTCGCAGATAGACATGTATCAATCAGTACAAGATATTAATTAAATATAAGCATTTTGTATTTTATTTCCAAGGTGCAGTACAAGCTATTTTCTGCTGCTGTTGCTTCATAATATCATGGTCCAATAAAAGATATTTTTTATGATTTCGACTTTTTAGTATTAGGTCTGTCATCGTCCACACTGTCAAAGCTTCTCTTATTATCACTATGATTTTCAAAAAAAAAAAAAAAAAAAAAGGCATTGATTTTAGTACAAACAATAACAAATAAGCGATAGCATGTCACTTACGGTAATTCCGGCTTCAGTGGCGAAGGTCTATAATCTCGTTGCTGAGGAGCTGGTTGTGGCCAGTTGAATGCATTGCCTCCACCACTTCCACCTCCATTTGGATTATGATTGTTTGCGGTAATGGGTGTGGATGAAAAGTTCAGTGGACTAGGAAGCTCATTTTGTTGATAGAACTCTGGGTAGAATGTGGATGGTGAAGGCAAGTTTTGAGCAAATTGCGATGGTAAAGCGGATGGAGGACCTGGCTCAGGCTGTCGATAATAAGGCTGAGATGAAGGAGGGGGATGTTGCTGAACATTGTTGGCTTCATCCTTTGCCGTATCGTCTTTCACACTGGATGTCGTCGATGACACAGAGGATACGCTTAATTGATGTCGATGCTTTGTTGGATTAGGTGAATCATTTGGGCCAGTATCTGGAATCTGAACTCGCAGCTTGGGTGGTTTTTTACCTGCACTGACAGTGCTATGTGTCGACATGGCAGGACTAGCAGGAGGACCTAAGTTGGGTGAAGATACTGTGCTCAAATTGGAGCCATATTGCAGAGAAGCCTGTCTACTGTGCTGTGCTGATGGCTGAGGACTGACAGAATATTGCTGCTGGCGTTGTGCTTGTGGTGGTTGGTATTGCTGAGAATGATGTTGCTGTTGCTGTTGCTGTTGTTGTGCTTGTGCTTGTGAATGGTATTGCTGCGTTTGATGTTGAGGAGGCAGAATGGCATAGGAAGAAGAAGGTGGCATATGGGGTAAAGGATGGCCTTGTTGGGGATGAGGATGTTGAGGGTGATGATGATGAGAGGGCTGCTGATGAGCTCCACCACCGCCAAACATATACATAGGTTGTTGCTGTTGCTGTTGTTGAGGAGGCATATTATACATGTCGTAACCAACTTGCTGTGGCTGCGGTTGAGATTGTGCTTGAGGATGACCGTAACGCATTTGCTGTTGCTGCTGCTGTTGCTGAGAGTAGTACATTTGTTGATTCATTTGTGGTTGTGGAGGTGTCTGTTGCTGCTGTTGCTGTTGCTGGTGATGCTGAGAATACATGATGGCAGATTTGTGATTTGCTTGGGTTGGCACAGTGACAGTCGACATGTTCTTCTTGTTGTGATTCATCATCATCATTTGATCCATGTTATCATCATCTCCACCTTGTGCACTGGCACTACCGCCAACAGAACCGGTATTGTGATTTGATCCGCCACCACCAATATCATCATCCTCTTCTTCTTTTATCAACTCGTCTTGATCAGATGAATTTATGAAATCTTGGTTTGATTTGCTTTCGTGAGGTTCATTGTACTAGAAAAAAAAACACGTAAGATTTTAATTTGGGTAAAAGTTGAGGGCATTATTACTTCGGTGTATTTCATCAAAATTTTATCGATATCAGTGCTGGCGTACTGTACGAGTTTTCCGTTATTATTGAATATGATCAAGGCAATTTCGCAATCGCATAGAACACTCAATTCGTAAGCCTTCTTCATCAATCCGTGCTTTCTCTTGAGAAATGTAACCTTTGGCACAATTTTTTTTTTTAGTTTACTTGCGGTAAATGTTGCAGTGGTTTACGTTTTACCTGTCGGTTACGATCATCTTTGATAGGTTGGATCTTGATTTTCTTACGACCCATAGTTGAATAAATTAAGACTTAAAAAGAAGGTATTTTAATGGTTGCTATGGTAACCAAGGATGATAAAAAAAGATTTTAAAAAATTATTTATAACACGCTACTATGTTGTCGTGGTAATAAAAGATAAAAATATACTTTTTTTTATAGACTTATTTTGGCCTTCTCCGAGTATAACTATCAAGAGAAGCAAAGAGAGAATGTGTGTGTGTGAGGGAGTGAGAGAAGAAGGGAAGAGAAAGAAAGAGGAGAAGAGAAAAAAGAGATCTAACAAAATAATTTCTAAAAAAAAAAAAAAGAGGGAGGGGGGATTTATTATGTGAAGGGGTAAAATAGGCTGAAAGGCAAAACGAGCAAAAGGGGATTTGAAATCATCCGTAAGTAGTATGAGAGGATACACAGTTATTTATAGTATTGATTCTTAACCCAGGGTGGAGCGCTTGCCAACGCCTTTATCGCCTTCACCATTTGGGAGCTCACCCGTTCTGCCAGTAACAAATTCATTGTAAATCAATCCTAATCGATGTGCTTCTTCTGCGGTAATCGATGGTCTTGTGGATTTGAGCGATTTCTCGAGATAACTGCGAGTGATTTTAGCTTCACTGCTATGCTCAGATGGTATGTTTTTCTCTTTGGAATCTGACGCATCCTTTAATGTTGATGGTGATGACAGTTTGCCCTTTTTGATCATTGCCAACTATCAAGAACGAGTGTCAGAAAAAAAAAAAAAAAAAAAAAAAAAAAAAAAAAAAAAGACAAAATGTGCCTACTTACTCGCTGTGATATTTGCCCCTTCTCGGCTAATGTCAATGGCACTTTTTTGGTTTGATTCATCACGAAATCACTTTTGTCGCTGCTGGCATTGTTTGCTGACTTGATATTCTGTGCCTCCTTGAAGGTATCCATATCAATGGCACCATGAATCGCTTCCAAATGTGCGTTATACAAAAAGCCTTGGAGATCTGCTCCCGAGAATCCTTCAGTTTTTTCGGCATACACCTTCAAGTCGACATCTGCTGCCAATTGCATTTTGGAGGCAAGTGCTTTGAGAATCTAATCAAAATGAGTTCATTGCATATGTCATTGCAGTGCATCCCATTGATATTACCTCTAATCTCTCATTAAATGTTGGCATGCCACACAATAATGCTTTGTCAAGTCGACCTGGGCGGAGTAGAGCTGGATCAATTAAATCAGGGCGACTATTAAATAAAGGGAGATTCAATATGCTATGCATGCATACATGTCACCAAGCACAAACCTTGTAGCTGCCAACACATAGACACCATCTAAACCTTCTGCACCATCCATTTGTGTTAGCATTTGGTTGACTACGCGATCTGTTACACCAGTGCTATCGTGTCCTCTAGATTTGTAAACAGAAAACGAGGTAAATATGCTAAGCGAAAATCAAGTGCGGCAAGTCTTGTTTGTTACCTGCGAGGCGCAATCGAATCAAATTCATCGAAGAAGAGGACACAGGGCTTGGCTGCTTGTGCTCTTTCAAATAAATCACGCACAGACTTTTCACTAGCACCAATGTACTTGTTCAGAATCTCAGGACCCTTGACACTAATAAAGTTTAAGCCACATTCTTTGGCTACTGCAGATGCTAATAGGGTTTTGCCGCAGCCAGGATAGCCATACAAGAGTAGACTACAAGTGGGTCAGATAAAGTGCTTGTATTCGCATTCTTGCCTACTTACCCTGATCTCAATCGAAGAGGACATTGTGCAAAGACGGCTGCGTATTTGGTGGGCCATTCCAATGTCTCTAATAACGCCTTTCTCGTTTCATTGAGACCTAAGCAAGATGTGAGCAATTGTCCAGGTGTCACAGACACATCTGATTCACTCACCTCCAATATCAGACCAATTAACACCTGAGCTTTGAAGTTTAACACCACGAAGCGAGGTTGGTACGAATCCTTCGCGTGCCTTGGTAAAGTCGGCTTGTGTCAATCGCAATTCCTGCTTGTTTACTGCGTCTTCAATCTCGCCTTGCTTAATATCATCCAGCTTCTTTTTGATGCTACGGACTGCTCCTTCGTGTACGGTTCTTTCAATGAATGCTTTGATATCCGCTGCTAAAAATCCCTCAGTTTCTGATGCAACTGAAACCAGATCAATGTGTGAGAGGCTCTCTGTCAGCACACTAGGCCCATGAGACATGATGGCTTGCATAATCTAAACAGAGAAAATCAGCTTGTAAGCTTAAAATGAGACAATGCTACATTTACCAATTTGCGCTCATCGCGGTTGGGTGGCTGAAGATGCTTCAACTCGCTGAATATATGGTGAGTGATCAACGCAGGATGCAGTGATTGTTGTTGCTGAGCAGTGGCCACCATCATAATGGGGTGTCGTTGGCATGCAATCTGTGCCATGCTGACAAAGAGTTCGGCAAGATGGCGACTACGAGTCGAGTCTGCATGTTCAACCTCGGCAGGAATGAGTCGATCCAAGTCGTCAAAGAAGATCAAAGAGGGCCCGTGCCAGGCTGCTTCATCAAACCATCTCTGCAGCATCTCTTTGAACACAGGAATGCGCTCGTCGGCAATCTCTGAGCAATTGATTTCCATAGTGTAAATCCAAGATGATCGCACGCTGTTGAGGATGGTCTTGACAACGCTCGTTTTGCCAGAACCATGCGTGCCGGTGACAAGCACACCGCCTGATCCAGGTACACTTAAGGTGTCCTTCAAATCACGCTCAGATAAGTTGGCCAGCGTATATTGTTCAATTTTTTGCAGCACTTTATCAACACCGCCCAGGACAATATCAGTAGGCGCCTTTCCCTTCTTGTCTGCAGCAGTAGGCTGTTTCTGGATGTCTTGTGCAAATTCGATAGGGATGGCTTGCTTGTTGTTGGTCACGATGTATTGCTCTGCATCTGTCGGTGCTTGACTGTTGCTATTACCGAATAATCCCTTCTTGGCTCCTAGTTGTACAAGGAACTGCTCTTGCTTGTCGTTTACCTTTAGATTCAACAACAGGCCATGACTCAGCGTAAATTCCCCTTCCTGCTGAGACAGCCATTCTTGCAGTGCTTTTGTAGTCTCATTTTCCAATGTCAGTTTCTGTTGAGCTAGTTGTTGAACACTCTCCAGACCTAATTTGATAGTCGATGATGATGGCGTAGGTGTCACAAATCGCTTCAAAATCAAAGATCCAACTGCATTCTTTTTGATGCCAATGGTGGAGACTCTATATTCTACAATGAGATACTGTGTGCTATCGCCACTGCTAAACGCTTTAACCTCCCACACTTACTTGACCATGTCGAAATCCTTTATATCCAGTGTATCTTTCAGCACAGATCCAATTACAATGTGTCGTAAAGGCACCTCCTTGGTCACTACCACATTGGCAAATACGGCTCTTGCCACTGGCACGTCTTCCACTTCTTGAGCTGGCTGGTCCTCGTCTCTCTTCTTGCTTGCATTGGACATGAATGCAGGCACAAGTTTGGTGAGTCGCACTCGTTCGCATTGCAGGCCTAGTGCTCCCATGGAATCAGGGTGGATTTTGACAGAGAGAGCATCCACACTCACTGCAGTACAGGTACGAAGGCCAATGGAAGGCTGCACCTTCTTGGGCTGTGGTTGAGGTTGCAAATCAGACACTTCTTCAGCTGCTGTTGTCGCTTGTCTGCGCACTTTGGGTGCAACAATCACTTCGGATTGGTTGGTCAACTTGAGAAACTCCTGCTTGGGATCCAATTCAGCGACAGCTAATCGTACAAGCGTTTTACCATGGATCCAAACACACATAATTTGATTTGTATACACTACTCGAATTTGGCTCAACAAATTCTCTTCTACATAGCCTGCATGTAGTTCCTGTGGCTGGTATCAGCACTGCATTCTCTTTTAGCATGTGTTTACTTACCAAGATCTCCCAATCATCCTCCGTCAAAGGCTCCACATGAACAGTAGTACACACAGGTACATTTCTGCAAAATTCGACATTGACCTAAGTAACCTGCTTTTAGCCATCCATTTGACACACAGTCAACCGCCCGTACCTTTTGTCCATCTTGCAACCCAACTGCCATGCCCCATTGAGGGTCCATCTCCAACACATCAAGCTTTCCATTTGCACCATGAATGAAAACAGAGTTAGGCTGCAAAGGCTTGGATGCTTCACCCGACCAACCGCAATATATCTTCTTTGCTGGCAACTTGTCTGCGTTGTTATTAGAGGCGCTTACGACCTCCAAGATAACATTTTGAGGCAGCTAACGATGTTGCATAAGTTGTCTGTATGCTGCTGTTTCTCGTGTATCACTCACCTTTTTCTGATCCAACAAGGCATTCACCCATTTGCCTGGCAAATTGACAAGACAGGACCTGATAGGCGTGAACTGTACAATGAGTGGTTTGGGCATCTTTCTGCTTATAGTAGTAAGACTAGTAGTAGTCTGTGAGGGAAAGAGAAATATATAAAAAAAAAAAAGTAAAAAGACGCTTTCCATCTCGGGGCCCCTTTTTGATGTGCGCTTATTCAAATCACAGGAATCTTGTTTAGTCATTTAAAATATCCTCCATTATAATCGATGGTATATTTTTCACACGCATAAGCAGAGAACTTCCATGATAGGTACATGTCAAAAAAAGAGTGTGCCTGAAGAGATACCAGGAATCTATGACATTACTGATGGTAAATGTTCAGCAATGTAAAAATGCCATGGTAGTATGCATGAACAAATGTCCCATGAAGAAAATGTCAAATTTGGCTGTCCAAGTGATCAAATAAGACTCTTCATTTTATGCCGCAAATGTAGCTATTTGCTTACATTGAGTTCAAGTACCTCATAGTCTGTACACCAACCATCGTAAAATTAAGCATCATATATACTGTAAAACAATCAAAAAAGTAGACAAGCAAATTATATCCTTTCAAAAATTTAAAGAATTGAGTACCGTACAAGATGAATGAAGCCGGCATTGAGAAGGGGGTTTGGAGGAGATACTAAGCCCATCCACCAAAAAACATAGCGCATCTAATTCAACATTCGGTAACATTGACCTATGAGGCAGCTTTACCACAGCGAAGTGGATATGAAAAACCATGGCAACTAAGCATCTAACCCAACATTTGGTAATATTAGCCTTAATGAGGATTTTACCGTAGCGAAGCAAAGATGTAAAACCATAGTATTCAAGCAGCAAATTTGGGGTTTTCATTTCTATTATTAACAAACTTACCAACAGCATAACGCATCAAAATTTGCATGAATTAGCTTTACCAAAATCAATATGCCTTCTATTCAAATTAGAAATTGCACATACTACAGAACTACCCTTCCAGAAGATCTCAGCTACCAAAGATGTGATTCATGCCGTGTAAATAAAAGCTCTATTACAGCAAAACATAACCAAATTTGAAAGCTATCAAGCCTTCATATCTTGACATATAGACCTTTCTGAGCCTTCGAAATGATACCAAACAACTGTACTTGAGTAGTAGTAACTTCTTGACACCTTTGCTCAACTTTTTGGGGGTCAAAAAAACATGGCCAAAAATCGACTTTTATTATGGTGTATATTCATTCAAAACGTTTCTCTCGATCCAAAGCAATCTCTAAAACCACTTTTATCAGGTTTTCATATGCAAAATATGGTTAATTTCACTGAAAAACACATTTAATGTTCTGCTAAATTACTCGATAGCTTCATTCAAAATACCTAATACTATTAGCACCATTGGAAGCGTCTTAAAAAGTACTCCAAGATTGTATTAGGAAGCTTTTTTTTTGTAGGGGAGTCGAGCTCCAGGTTTTATTTAAAGTCCTTTAAATGTCATACTGAGGGATAGAAAAGACTGTTGGTGGACCCAATGTCTGCAATGATGGGGAATAAGATGTATAATGAACTAAGTTGGAAAAGAAATCTACTACTAATAAGGTGCGACACCTAGAGCCAATACAATTATGCGAATCGTCAAAATATAGATCATGGATAAGAGTACGAAACACCAAACGAGGACATCAGTACTACCTCAAAAAAAATCAAACAACTTGCGTTCACCAGGATTTGAACCGGGGATCCTCCCGTTGGCATACGGGAGTTCTACCACTTCGCCCTACCACCAGGGACTATATTAGGAAGCTTAGGGTGATCATCACGATTTATATAGTCGAATATCATAAAAAAGATTAAAGAAGTCGGGAAAAGCAAAATTTGTCCAATCTTGAGCAGAAGAAAATAAACTGAGCTTGAACCAACTTTGGCGGGCGGCCCTACTGTTGGCTGACCAAAATGCGTTTCTAATGATGGCAATGATGATTAGGATGCTAAATCAATGAGGATCATGAATTTAAAAAAACAATCGCTCAGAATATATACTTTCTTTGCTTTTGTTAGGCAATTTCATATCTGACAACACCATTCAGCTTAGTTCACCGCCAAAATATATGTAATCGCAACTTCCTAGTCATGATTTGCAGCATTTCAATATAGCATGTCGGCAGTATGGGTTTCATCGAACCGTCTTAAAAAGACTATTGCCACTGGCTTAAACAATTTTGGTATGCGATGAGGGCATCTCTAAAAGTTGTATCAGAATAGTCTTTGGAAATGATGGCTGCAATCTCGTTGACAGTTGACAGATTCTGAGTGAGCCTGTCTTCAATCTTCATTTCGATTGCTAGTTTAGTAAATGTTGCTGTAGATAGGAACATAACATAACAAAGTTATAGTCCATAGACACTTTTACGGCCCTAATATGGAAACTGAGTTGCCAGGCATTTGTCAGACATGGCTCACATTATATGATCATTAGAAATTTTATGATTAAATCACTATCAATCAATGAACAAGTTTCTTCTAACATTTTAGCTATTACTCTTAATTTTACGATATTAGCCAAATGCTCGCAGCAGCTCGAGCCACCTGAATATGAGTTTGTTTCCTAACCTACGCTTCGTTTTGGTGGAAACCAACAAAAAAGTTGAAATGCTCATCGTAACGTATTATACTTATGATCCCCAGACACTTTCAAAGCCACAAAAAGGAGAGAAGTTGATCTAACAAGTATTTTAGTAGACTGGCATTATTTAATATAGAATGCAAGAAAAATAGCATGACTAACAATAGTGCAGTGTAATTTGTCATCTACTTTCCATACGCTTCAAAAGCATCTATTACTGTATTGCCTTCATGACTAAAAGGACATTGAGTTTGCCAGCCGGCTCCACCAGCCAAATTTAATTCAAGTCCAGACCCATGGTCTGTTCTAGATTGGACAAATCTTGAAGATATTCGACTGGATTGATCAGTTTTAGCAGATTCGACTAAGTAAAACATGATGTGCTCATCGCATGCTTCTTTAAGCTTTCTTGGAGTGCTTTTCAAGGCGCATCCAATGGTACCAAGTAAGATATATGTTTTGAATAAACTTATTGAGCAATATATGAAAATATGAAAAGAGGTTTCTGCCCAAAAAGTCCAGATTTTCCATATCGAGGTCCCACAAAGATGATTTCAGGGGTTATGTTAGATTGTTAGAAACATTTTGAATTAATATACACCATAATAAAAGTCTTCATTTTCAAAGTGGAAAATGCGATCGTTTAATTTTCGATGAAAACCATAAGGAGTACCTCATGCTTTTTGGTCGATTTTTGGCCATGTTTTTTTTTGATCCCCAAAAAGTTGAGCAAAGGTGTCAGTGCGTAAGTACTAAATCAGGGCAACCACTTGATGCTATTTTGGCGGTCTAAAATAGCTTTTATCGCGAGAAATCGCGGTTCAACGCACCCAAATTTCACTGTGTTTTGTACAATTTGGATTATTAATAGTCAATGCAAGCATTATGTTTGTCTGTATATGAAATAATCTCATTCATTCGGACAAAAAGTATCGCATAAGAGGCATATTCGTAGTTACAAGTAGCCCAGAGACTTTCCGTATAATAGTGATAGCCTGAAATGTGAGATTTCAACATACATTAGTTGAAAGGGTTCAATCACTAGGCTTGTCGTTGAAAACCATTGCTCCTTTGAGATGGCGCTACTGCTCCCTACAACAGCAGCTGACTCAAAGAACATGTGCATGATACGAACAAGATCCAAGCACAGGACATTGATGATTTGAGCATACATCAGCCTTTTTTGATGTATGCGGTGTATTCATCAAATGATCTGCTGGTAAACATATCTTTGCGCAGATTGGGTATGCATGTGTATACATTCAATAAATATTTAGAGATATATTATGTGTCTGATATACTTTGGATGTTACTAGAGCCGTAGTTCAGTCAGAAACCCGTTTGGAACATGATGGCAACAATTAAAATAATGTATGGCTATTACCGTATAGCCCAATTACAACAAGGTTCATACGTAGTGATGATTAGCAAGCATTTGCAAGATAAGCCCATCATGCGTCGACATTGGGCCCACTGTAGAATCAACACTGCTTTTTTTTTTGGTAGAATGATGATTTACCCTAAAGACTGAGAATTCAGCTGGAGATCAACATTTGGATGGGCGTGTCCTGTGTCTTGAAATATGTGGAATTTAACATAAAAAGAAATAAAAAAGATGTGTATGGAGCCACAACCCCGACTCTTTCTTTTTAATAACATTCGCTTACACACATCTTGGTTAAAAAAGGTAAAAAGCAAAGATAGATAAAGAATGAACACACATTTCTCAACGCATGAACCATCATCAGGACAGCATCGAGATGAGTGACGTTACGATCCACGAAAGCAACCTCTGCTTTGTTGCTCCCATTTTGCATCAACAGCAGCTACAACACCAACAGCAACAACAACACTTACAGCAACAACAGCAGTTACAGCAACAACAGGCACAACAACAACAGCAGCAGCAACAACAACAACAGGTGCAATCCATGCCACAGCACTTGCAACTGCATCAGCATCCAGAACAACAGCATCTACCACCAACAACAGCACCTCCCCAGCAAGATAAGCTCTATTTTGAGACTCTGGAAGAAGCTGAGGCTCATTTCAGACAAGTGAACAAAGAAAGAGGCCACTTTCTAGTCAAGCGATCCTCTCAACTCAAGCAAGAAAAGGGAAAAATGTTCCTGTTGCTTGAATGCAAATTCGGCGGTGTCTTTCGACCTACCAAGAAGAAGAGTGTGAGTAATCCTAGAGACGCAAGATCAGCCAAGGTAAATTGCAAATACGCAGTTCGTATTACGGAAAAGGACGCTCAGTGGGTGGTGAAGCCATCCAAGTTTGAGCATTCATGTGAACCCAAAAGAGGCATTGACATCTACAGCCTTCCCGAAAACCGACAGTTTGATGAGGTGCAGACAAACATCTTTAATGTCATGTACGACACGAATGCTTCCAATCGCGCCATTGCAAATGCTTTATCTACAACTGGTAAACTTGTGTTTCCTAGGGATATTAAGAACAAGAGAGCTCGCATCAAGCAGGCAACATCAAATCCTTTGTAATTGGCATCTAGTATATATATACATCACTCTTCACTCTTTTCTTTACCTCAAATCCCTTTCACTCACCCTTAACACCATGCGCATTTAATGAAATGTTAATAAAGCCTTCCACTTTTACATAAAGATACATTGCATTGAGGCATAAACTGGCTGTAAAGACGTTGATGGCATTTGGAATGCCATTGAAACTGCTCTGTCTGCGAAGGATGGCCCCCCTCATCCCAAAATCAAAGGCTCTTCACCTAATGTAGCAGGCTCAAACAAGGACCCTTTCGCCCCAGAATCAAAGGCTCATCGTCAATTGTAGTACATTCAAATAAACGGAAGGCTAATTTCAAAAGCACAACTATATCACCCCGAGCATCAATAAATCTTCTGGTTACAACATCTATCAATAAACAAGGTCAAAAATAACCATCTCATCAGCATGCGTATCCTCATGATCAACTCCAAGGAACTGAACAAGATTATAGTAGCAAGCTGAAATCGATTTGAAGCACCAACACCACCAATACTAAGGATGCCCTTGTTACAGCAACAGCCAGTTGCTAACAGCGCTGTAATCTCAAAAATTCAATAATCTTACTGTTCATCTAAAATGGCGAGGTATATAGCTCGGTCAGTTAGATTCTACACTGTATTGTTCAATTTGCTTATCACTCCCTCATAACTGCCATACAGGAGAGTGTTTTTCTTTTTTCTCACCACTTTCTACCGTCAAAACACATTTTGATATCGACTCTTTCCATGGCTCCTACTGGGTTTTATGGGCTGGTAAAAGATGTTTGATTGCTGGAGATATTTCTCTAGCATCTTTGGGCGGGCTCTGGTTGCATCCATGGTAGTAGGTGGAATCGGTTAGGTTAAGGGGAATTTCTTGAACGTATACGGCCTTTACCTTCTTGTTGATACTCTTATCAGTAGAAACTTATAGCTTTGAAACCAAAAAAAGGCTGCTCAGAAACACAGAGCATTAGAGTATGTCTTTATGCTTATAATAAATTGCATTGTGGTCATCTAGAATGAAGATTGACAGAGTATGCCACTACAGTCTTATTGTGTATTTGCGTTTTTTTTTAAAAAAAAAAAAAAAAAAAAAAAAGGATCCAGTTTGGCTTGAGGTTGCAAATGTTCTAAAAAAGTGTTAATTCTAGGTTTTTGTAATTAGAAACATATGGAAGATAGGAAAGAAAGCTCCTTTACTGTGCAAGGTTCTTCAAATAACGTTTGAGAAATACGAAAAGCTAGAAGCATTCAATGACAAAGGCGCTCGACTACTATGGCTTGTTTACATTCAAGCAGATGATTGCCGTGTGGGCCTGAATTGTGTTGTCATAGATACATGGATGTCAGTTGACAACAAAGCTTTAACGAAACTCCTTATCTATACAAGTCAAATCAAGCTCTACTCGAGCTGTAAGAATTCAGCCAAGCTTTCATCATTATCATCCACCAAATATGGGGTTTCTAGTAAATGAATAGAATTATATATCCCATCTATATGTAGCTACAATAAGCCTTGTTTTTTCTTCTGATATCACAATCATAGTAGCGCACAATCAGAGTATCCACATTTGAACATAAAGCCTTGCAGCAGTTAGTAATATGCATAGTTAAGGTTGATCTTTACTCTATCCATCACAATGAGATGCGTAAGCGCTGAAGAATAAAAACTATTGAATTGATCAGCCTATCTATTAGTACATCTCTTTTGTTTGGCTTCACAGATCATAAACGTTCTGTTATAATATATAGTAGCATATTGATTCCATTAGCTTGGGACTTTGCAAGATCAGGTTGCCAAGATCACTGAAAAGCGTAAACGATATATAGCTACACCTACTAGGAGATCTTTTCATCCACATCAACCACAGCCCATTGAGTCCTATAGTGAATTACATGTATGCAAAGTCTGCATTATTCATTTCTTGCATTAACGTGCAAAACATGAGTCATTCATGCACATGATCCCTATACAGTATCTACCAAACATACTGCGGTCAGAGCAGTAGTGTTCATCATTGGAATAGCAACTAATGTCGGTGGCTTATATACTCCTCCTGGATAACATCAAATCTCTCGAATTCTTAATCGTGATAGCTCATATGATTATGGATTTAAAGCTACCATCACTTTCGAAACAATTGTATGTATGCTCATTACTTTAGCATAGTGACCTAGAGCCACCATGGCATGTTGGAACGACATGTATATCATCCAATGTTAAAAGTGACGTAGACGAAACCATTGCACAGCACACACACACACACACACACACACACGCGCAACTGCAATTTTTTTTTTTGTTTTAAAATACAATTTTTTTTCCACTCTTTCTCTCTCTCTCTCTCTCTCTTTTCATACACTACAAACATGTCAGATAACGAGAAAGAACCCGTCAAGGATCAATTTGACGATGAAGAGGTAATTTTTAGCAGCACGAGCTCATTGTGTATTCGAAAATCTAATCAGTGCTTGCCGATATTGTTAGGTTGACTTTTCTAAATTGAAAAAGAAGAAGAAGTCAAAGAAGAAGGTCGATTTCGAGGCAGATGTCGAAACTGCTGAAGCACCTGCTCAAGAAGAAGAACAAGCACCTGTTGATGCTGAGCAAAATGGTTAGATTTCTCTTGTAGATACGCGCGTGGAGTTTTACATCTAAACATGATACATTTCGTTATAGAACAAGCTGAAGAGGATCCTGAGGCCATGTTTGCTGACTTGAAAAAGAAAAAGAAGAAGAAGTCCAAGCCTATTGAAGAGGTATAGCATGCTTATACAATATGGATGAGTTGGGTAGGGCTAAAATGTTGATATACAGGATGCTCCCGAAGGCGAAGCTTCTCCTGCTGCCAATGACGAAGATTTGGACTTTGGAGGTTTGAAGAAAAAGAAGAAGAAGAAGAAGTCCATGGCTCAATTCGAAGCTGATTTGGCCGATGAGAATGCTGATGAAGACGATGCCACTGAAGAAAAGGCCAACGGAAAGGCAGATGGTGAAGAGGCATGGTTAAAGAGTGACAGAGATTACTCTTATGACGAAGTAAGCTGGATGGTGTATAGAAATGGGCGAATGTGTGGCATGCTGACAGTGTTATATTAGCTTCTCGACCGTGTGTTCAACATTTTGAAGCAAAACAACCCCGAATTAGCTGGTGAAAAGAAGAAATACACCATTGTTCCTCCTTCCATCCATCGTGAAGGTAACAAAAAGACCATTTTCGCCAATGTCACCGAGATTAGTAAGCGTCTTCATCGTCCCGCTGAGCATGTCATTCAGTTCTTATTTGCTGAATTGGGTACAACTGGTTCCATTGATGGTGGCCAGCGTTTGATCATCAAGGGTCGTTTCCAACAAAAGCAAATTGAGAACGTTTTGCGTCGCTATATTGTCGAATATGTCACCTGTAAGACTTGTAAATCACCCAACACGATTATGACCAAGGACAACAGATTGTACTTTGTTACTTGTGAACACTGTGGTTCCACTCGTTCTGTATCTGCCATCAAGACTGGTTTCAAGGCACAAACTAAAGAAGATAGACGTGCGCTCAGAGCTTAAGAGAATGAAGAGTTTGTTTTATATTTTGTTAAATAATAAAAAAGATGAAAAACATGTAAAAGATCACTTTTTCAGTGCCAAGTCTTGTTGACTGAGTGATTTCTTTGGTGTCCATGACCTGCCATCATCACCATCGTCAATCAGAGCTTGTCTAACTTTGGTTTTCTTTTTCTTTTTGACTAATCTGGGTATTGTGGTGGATGAACAAGTAGCAGAGGGGATGGCAGGCGATGACATGGCCGTAGAGGGAGTCGCTGGTGATGGTATCAATGTAGGCGTAGATGTGCTGGTTTTGGCTGCAATGCTCTGATCTTTCTCTCTTTCCATTTTACGGATATCGTCAATTTCAGACAGGTACTTTTTCTTGAGACCTTGCAATTTGGCCGCTCTGTCCTTGAGTTGCTTTGATCTTCCTGTCAGCATGGACATGGTTGCCTTGAGGGACATTAATTTGGTGTTGTATATGGCTACTTTGTCCATCTAGTGTGATAGGCACTAAGTATTTGTTTTTGTATGTGAGTATACCTGCATACTCACGTTAGACTTGATGCCGCTCAATTCTGCATCTGATATCATGCTTGCTTGTGCTTTCAATATGACTTCCAAGAGATTGTTTTGCGCTTGACTATACATTGTCAGTATGTTGTATTTCTACATGCGGTGCTAGCTTTCATCTTACGCTATCCCTTGCAGGTCATCTTCCAGCGTTGAAATAGTCGATACTATGTCGGCTGCAACTTGAAGACTCGCCATGCTAGTGTGAAAAGACAGGAGAAAAAAAAAGGTGTGAAATAGTACAAAAAGATTTCGCTCGACAGCCCATTTAAAGAGCCGGCAATCTAGAGAGACAATGGGGTTGCCTTGTTGATCAGTTGGGCCGAAATGTGAATAAGGCAGTTATAAGCTTTATTTCGTACACTCTAGTATTTTGGTATATATGTAGTTGTTGCATTCATGTGATGGATTGCTTGGTAGGAGCCTATATATATATATATATATATCTCATTCTAGCATCCTGTCGTCAGTAGGGCTGTAGTCTGCTTGTTGCTGCTGATCATCCAGCGGCTCGTGGTCGAATGCTTGCTCAAGTTGCATTACATTCAGGTACTCTTTCAGGTGTTGTACGCCTATACCGCTATAAACACAGAATGCATTTCGTTGTAGTTCTGTGAAATCTTTGGGAGGGGGCCTACAAAACTGCTGCAAATCCTCTCGCATAAACGACGGCACATGTGTAAGGCTCAAGTGACTCAATCTCTGACATTTGTTCAACAGTTCTGTGATGGCCTGCACGCTGAGACGAGAGCAGAAACTCAAGTGTATACGCTCTATGCTGTTGGTAATGCGAGAGTGATTGGACAGTGATTGAATGGCTGCGTCTGTAATGCGGCCGCATTTGACAAGTCCAATGCGTTTCAGTTTGGGTAAATGTTTAGCTAGTTCAACAATGGATGCATCTGTGATGTTGGTACAAGAGGCCATGTCTAAATAGCGAAGACGCGGGCAGACGAGGGCAAGACGCTGGATGGATGTATCGGTAATATTTGAACAATGGCCCAAGTGTAAAAAGTGCAGATAGCGACCTAATTTACTGATTGCCAGCACACCATGATCTGTGATTAGCGAGCATTTGTTGAGAACCAGACTTCGGATTTTCGGTGCTGCTTGTACCAGTATGTCGATGGAAATGTCAGTTATAGGCGAGATGCCAGTAAAGTCCACAAGCCGCAGTTGCTGATAGTATGGCTGCTGGTGTAGCAGTGATGCACTTGTAAATGCCGTGTCGTCAATCTGTATGCTGGCATTGTCTGCATGGCTCAGTCGAAGTTCCCTCAGCTCTCGGTTATTGTTGAATATCGATATCAGTGCTTGATTGCTAATGTTGCAGTTCATAAAATCGACTTCAATTAGTCTCGGACAGTGCATTGACAGGGCAATGGCGGATTGATCCGATACATGCGCGCAATTGTTGAGTTTGATCTACAGACAATATATATATATATAGCTATACGTTAATAGATGGTGTCCCCCCCCCTTTCCTCCTCTATAGCTACATCCTGCTACTACATACTCTCTTCAAATGGGTACACTGTGCTGCTAGTAACGTGACACTGGCATCAGTAATGCTGTGATGGAATCGACTCATGCTCAGATTGAAGCCTTGTAGCTGAGGGCATGATGTAGCTGCTTCCGTGATAGTCGCATCGGTAACTTGATATACATCGCTGAGGTCGAGCGAGACTAGTTTAGACCCAATCTCATGTATGAGTGTGCATAACCCAATATCAGTGAGTTTGGAACAGCCAGCCAAAGTGAGCCGCTCTAAGCGTTTGCAGGATCGTAACGTCATGACATGTAAATCCTCAATCAGAATGGAGAGAGGCGACAGATTGATACGGCGTATAAAGGAAGCATATGGAAATGCCGTCTGTTGGGTTGCTTGGATGATGGTGAAAAAGGTGATCCATGCATTGGACGACGTCGGCAAGCGCACATGGAAAGTGGGTTTGTACCATAGTATTTCCAATGCCAGACAACTCCAGCGCTTGCAGACAAGAGCGCAGTTGATTAAGTCGCCTGCTGATTCACATTTACGAAATACATCCTGCAGTATCTCTGACGGTATAGTGTTCATGATGCTGAGAAAAAAAAAAAGAAAGAAGTGGAGAATAATTTATTTTTTACATGATCTCTTTTAAAATGTGACCACGCTCTAGTTTATATGGACCACAGTTTGATGATATTATCGCTGCCACCGCTCGCTAGGACATCATTACGGAATCGGATCGAATTGACGTGCTGTTTGTGACCTACCAGAGCACTGTGCTGGAACGAGGTGCGATTGTACACCTATTAGAAAGAAGTGATTAGATTCAATGCATGCCCAACATGATCGGTCATAAACCTACATCGATTATATTGCTTGTGCCTGAGCTGATAATCTTGCTTGCATTGAATTGGAGACTGGACACAGCCGTGGTATAGGTCAGTGTATCGAATACGGAGCCTGTGCGCAGATCCCAGATCCGAATCGTCTTGTCCAGACTGCCGCTCACAAGGTGGACTTGATCAAATTGCAAGCAGGTAATAGGCGCGCTATGACCAGGTAAAGTGCGGTGTGCCTGACCCGTTCTCACTAGTAAAAGCAATAGTCAGCTTGGCATGTTCACTCATAATAGTGTCCTTACTTACAGTCCCACATGCGAATCTTGCCGTCAGAAGTACCACTGGCCAGAGCAAAATCCCAAAATTGCAGTGCTCCCACAAAATCGTAAGCAGCATAACCGTAATTCATGGCTGTATCCAACCAGGAATCCACAATACCGCCTCCATTCTTGCTTGCCCACATGACATCCAGTGTCAGCACGCACTGCTGTGTTTCCAAATCCCATTGTCGAATCGTCTTGTCGTTGGATCCAGACACGGCACTCGACTGATTGGCATGTAGAGCCGTAATCTCTCCCTGGTGTCCTTCCAATGTGAATGTCTCATTAACAATGCCGCCGTCAATCGCTGTCAGGCTGGGTGAGCTGGGTGTGGATGAGAATACAGAGCTACCAGAGAACGATGGCTGTGGTGGCGGAATCAGAGACAGATCCCATTGCTTGATTGTGTGGTCATCAGCACCTGTCAAAAGCCGGGCCTCGTTCAAATGAAGACACCTCACCACACCCGCATGGCCCTCTAAATTGCCAAGGCATCGATTGCGGTACAAATCCCAGGCTTTGACTGTGCCGTCCATGGAGGAAGATACCAGCATACCTTTGGGATGATTGAAATCCAAGCATACCACATCGTCCGTGTGTCCCTCCAATGTCTTGAAACATGTGCCTGACTCCACTTCCTCGTCGTCGGAATCTGATTCATTACCTCTGTCAGACTTGGATGCTCTGCCACTGATACTACCGCCTTCTTCTATGTCCATAATGGCATCGTTCAAATCGTCAACTATAGTTCAAATGTTACCATCAAATTACTACTGCCAGCTTGCTCACACTTACTTATCAGTTGCAGTTGGATGTCCTTTTCCTCCAATTTCTCCCACTTTTGCTCCAATATCTGCCGTTTGCTCAATAGTTCGTTGATTTGTAGATTGATTTGGTCGATTTCATTCGCTGTGGACGACTGAGTGGCCTCGTTTAGTTGCTGATACACATCACATAGTGCATAATTACCTTTTGCATACTGATTTTATCGCAATCCCTCACTCTCTTCTCCCGTTCGCTGATGATTTGAGTCAGTGATCTAGGCATATCTACTCGAACATTCCACTTAGTTACCAGACAACCAAATGAACATGTCCACACGTACCTTTGCTCTGTCTATTTGGTTTTGCATCTGTGGGCTGCTTTTTCTTTTTAGCTCGAGTTTTTTTAGGGGATCTGCTTGTTTTGGCGAGAGAAGGATAAGCAGAAGCAAATCCTTGGAATAACGATACTGGGTTATTGGTTTCGGGTATATCAGCCTGCAAAAGCACAGCACTGGATGGCCAGGCATACATTTTACCATGCAGTACAAGATCACGAGGTGCTGCCAATGCGTTGGTAGAGCTTGGTGTTTGTTGACGTTGCTGCTGCTGTTGCATAAGTTGCAGCGCTTTCACCATGGACTCAGACCTGTACACTGGATGTGCTGCCAATGGACTAAACATGACCGTGGAGAGCGATTCTAGTTGTGTTAAGGACGACGTCCACTCTGTAGAAGGTGTCAGCCATGCTCTCGCTGAATGTACGACACTGTTGGCTTTGTCCTTGGCTGCAGCGACGACAGCCGTGTAATTCATAGAGGTGTTTGTATCATTGCTTGTATTGACAGTGATGGTACTGCGTTCTGATCTCTTTCTCAGGATGGGTGGTGGCTTACTATCTGTTGGCATAATGAGAGTCTTTCCTCTTTGATGGAAAGAGGTATGGAACGAAAAGAGAGAGAGAGAGAGAAAGGAAAGAGAGTGGGAAGAAAATGAGGTAATGAAATTTCAAATTAATTGCAGTGAATTACTGTCTATTTGGAGTTCCCCTCCTTCTGATGCTCTCCATTCAAGTGACGTCAGCTGAACATCGTTTGTAAGCATTGTTGTGGCCATGGTTACTCCAAAGAGGGGAAGTGGCATGTCCATTCAAGTCTGACCCAAGCTTTGGCGTAATGAGTTACCTTTGGGTCTATACTGCATTTCATCCTCAAATCCGAGTACTTTAACATCAAAAATAGGGTAAATCCATCTCAATTATGTCGCCGAACCCCGTAGTACACATGAATCATAGTTTCGTAAAGCAACACTCTTCCAAAAGCCGACAAAATACCAAAATCCACATTACATATGTCGAAAATGGCAGCAAACGAGTGCTTTCACTATTATTTAACAAATTAACCATCAGCATTATCAAATGGATAGATGTAATTATCAATTATTAGCTATTTCAAGAGTCTCTGGCGAATTGATACTTAATTGGTGATCAGGGCCATTGCTCGCCTACTATGAGTAGAAACATCCTCGAGACTTCGGGTATAAGGATTCGACTGACCATTAGTGCAATTTAGCTTTTTGGACATCTATTAAAGTAAGACACATGGAAGCTAGATCAATTATATTGGAAAAATGTCAAAAAGCATCATAATAGCGCTTATCTTAACTGAAAATCAGCAACACGAGAGAAACATGTTGCAAATATGATCGAAACAGTAAGTCAAACTCAATGGTATGGTTCAATCTTTATATCTTGAGGAAAAACAATTTTTATTGGAGATCTGCAAATTCCTTGTTTGGCCCACTTTTTTAGACCTCAACCCTCAGGAGGAATATTTACTTTAAAGCATTTCTCTAACGATAACGTCAGAAAAATTATCTGTAAATTAGATCTATGTATGCGTTTAGCTTTTGGCTAAGATTATCAATTAAGCAACTAGCAATGTTTATCTGTTAGTTCTCGAGATAACGAGGTAAAAGTAGCATCTTTGGGACCCAAAATGGCATTTTCATGCTCAAGCCAGAGGCTAATTTAATATCCGACTAAAATGGGTCTAGCTGATAGTCTCTTTTTTAACGCTCGATTTCTCAATATCCTGACGATGAAAAAGAGAAACAAAAAATGATCCTAAATTTAGACATCAGATTACAGCTTTTAGTAAAAAAAATGGTAGATAGAGTCAAACTTCACAGGGAAATAGGCTCTTGGTTTTTCACGCACAAATTGGCGCAGTTTAAATTTAGGAACTGCCTCTCAAGCTGTCAAGTACGCACAAAGCATGGTATTAATCAACACAACAACGCATATAATTCGGATCATCATATAGTTAACCTCACATTCAAAAACCCCAATCAAGTTTACCTACGTTGTTAATCCCATTTCTGAGTATTCTTTCATATTTAGGCTACTGAATTGGCAAAAATTGGAACCATGCCGTTAAAGCCGTGTGAGAGAGGGGTAGATGAAAGATAAGTGACCAAGTTTTGGGTCTTTTCATGGCCTCACAAGAGTTCAAATCATGAAAGTCATTGTCCATCATCAAAGCAACAAAATAAGATGCTTTATTGATGGTTCTTGCAAGGAATGTTAAGCCTTACTTTGTAAGATGTGCAATGATATCCACCATTATATGTTGATTTCCATGTTGATTTCCTCGCACAGATGCCATGTTTAAGATATGCCCTTAGACTTACAATTATACATTGTAAATCTTCTTCATAGCCTCCTATTAAAGAGCTAGACCAGTTCAATTGTTGATTTAGAGCTTTTTTTTTGGAAATATATTTTCAAGGGAAAAAGAGATTGAATGATCCCTCGCACAACCAAAAAGGCCTTCTCGGTGTACTAATTGGGTCGATATCCTAGTGACTTTTTCGTAAAACGGAGCAAGTATCCCTGCTGGTGTGAGTTGCTCTTTTCTTTTCAATCATCATTCAAATCAAAATGGCATTGATGCTACGAGTAAATTCAGTCGAGATATGACAGATAGGCATGAATACTAATATGAAATATCTTTTAGCGCACCGTCCAATCCACATGTCGTCAAAGTTATAAGCGAACATTAACAACTGCCTCCAGTATGTCAAGCTCATGGCTGTCTCTCTTATTTTGATATTGATTTGCATTACTAGAAAAGAAGAATTGGACAGAGAACTTAGCAACGCCTGTTGCAGCAGATATGATCGGCACACCAGATCCAATTTCAAATCTTAGACCCGTAAAGTATTATATACCGCCTAATGAGACAGCAGAGGAGAAGGAATGGCGAGAATCATGCCAACGAGTAGATGCGTTCAACGAGGACTTTTGGCAAAAGAACAACACTCTATTCATGAATGCCAAAGCAGAGTTTGAAGACCAATTCAAAGCAAGAGGAGAGGAAGTGACAGCAGAGGCCATGTCCATGTTTTACAAGGACTTTTTGAACAAGGCCTACGATCGCCAGATGGAATACAACCGCACCTGGTGGAAAATGAACGTTGCTCAATTATACCCTGGATTCAAAGCTGCCATCCGCTCACTCAGTAAATCAAAGCATGAAACTGCTCATGCCGCTCAGCTCAGCAAAGGGAATGGTTTCTGGGAAAAAAGCTTTGAATCATAGAATCAATAAACGTGTTTATTTGTTTGAAATTACAAATTAGCACCCGAGTTTCTCTGCAAAATCTTGTTGACTTTGCTGGCCTCCATATACTCCTTGACAATGCCACTAATGCCCTTGAACTTTTCATGCTTTGCATCTTGGACTAACTGGAAGAGGACGGATTCAGATGTAGTAATGACAGCGCCAGCAGATCTCATACGCTGTGTGTAAATAATTCAATCAGTAAACAGGGCATATGGATTAGATGTATGAATACACTTACAGCAATGGCAATATCAATTTCGGGATGGTTTTGAGACGAAACGCCATCAGCAATAACATGCACATCGTAGTCATTCTCAAGGAACTCAAGAGCGGTTTGAAGCACACAGACGTGGCTCTACGAAAGAGACTGAGTGAGGCTCACACACCTCTCTTGTGCACTTTTGTGATTTCTTACCTCAATGCCCAACAAAAGAATGGATTTCGTATTGTTCTTTTTCAAAACATCGACGACCTCAGGCAAGTACATGCTGAACTTTGTCTTTTCAATGCAAACAGCTGCATCTGAAATATCCAACTCGGCAACAGTGCGTCCAAAGGCTACATAAACAGCATGTTTAGGTTGAATACGCCAGACTATCAAGCGATTCTCGCGAATTACCTTTAGGATACTGCTCCGTGACAACAACTGGCATGTCCAAAAGTTTGCTGGCTTTGATCTAGGAATGGGAATTGATGTGGTTAATGGCACGCATCGTTTGTCTTTTGTTGTCAGCTCTACAACTTGCCATTTTACCAGCAACGGAGATGACAGAAGGATATTGCCAAATGAGACCCTTGAAGCGCTCTTGGACATCACACACAAAGAGTGCAGTAGTTTGGGGAACCAGCTTGGTGATATTTTTGATAGACATGATATAGAAATGTGTTCAAGTTGAGAGAGAAAAAAAAAGAGTATATAATGGATTATAAGGGTGGGAATCAATTATGTATCAGGTTTGGTGTAAATATACCCTTTTAAAAGTCAATCCGACTCATGTGGGAAAGGGCAAGCGAATAGCTCGTATTATCATCTCGTTGTGGCAGTTTTTAGCTTCCAATACAACCCAGTGGCCAGATTTTATCAGCACTGGCGCTATGCAATCTCAAATCGGTTGCAGTAGATGTAAAGTGTAGGATCCAAGTGGTACTATCCTGATTAACCAAGCGAGTAAATGTTGCTCTTCTTTACAGTATTTAACGACATTGACCACACGGTTGTAAGGCCATGTTGTTCATGCTGGATGACTCGAGACCAAATGTCAACTTGACTTAATGCCTCAAGACAATCATATAGATGAGATAACACGACAGTTACATATGCTTCTCATCATTTCCCTGCAAATTCACAACAATAAATGTTCAGTCCCTAGACACTTTTACAGCCCTAATATGAAAACTAAATTGCCTGCCATCTGTCAGGCTTAGCTCATATATGATTAGTGATTTTACAATCAATCAACAAAAAACCACTGTTATTTGTACCCTCTTTCCTCTGCTCAATGCTTTCAACGTTTTTTTTTTTTTTTGAACGGCGGCTCAGAGCCTCAGAGATTTAGTCAATGGTTGCGATTGAGAGAAATGTTGTTTATGATCCATATTCCCCTTCTTACTGTAGACATGTTATGCAGCCCATGAATCGTCAATGTCCAAACTAACGTTTTTAAATATAAAATGCAAGAAAATAGCATGATGAACGAAAGTACTATGACTTTCCGCCTACTTTCTATACGCTTTAAAAGCATCGATTACTGTATTGCCTTCATAATGAAAAGGGCATTGAGTTTGCCAGCCGGCTCCACCAGCCAAATTTAATTCAAGTCCAGACCCATGGTCTGTTCTAGATTGAACAAATCTTGAAGATATTCGACTGGATTGATCAGTTTCAGCAGATTCGACTAAGTAAAACATGATGTGCTCATCGCATGCTTCTTTAAGCTTTCTTGGAGTGCTTTTCAAGGCGCATCCAATGGTACCAAGTAAGATATATGTTTTGAATAAACTTATTGAGCAATTTATTGAAATATAAAAAGAGGTTTCTGCCCAAAAAGTCCAGATTTTCCATATCAAAGTCCCACAAAGATGATTTTAGGGGTTACGTTAAATCGATAGAAACATTTTGATTCAAGATATACCATAGTAAAAGTCTTGGTTATCAAGATGAAAAATGCGATCGTTTGATTTTCGATGAAAACCATGAGGGGTATCTCCTGCTTTTTGATCGGTTTTTCACCATGTTTTTTAGGTCTTCAAAAAGTTGAGCAAAGGTGTCAGAAAGAAACTGTCAGATGAGAGCAACAGTTTGGTGCTATTCTGACGGTCTAAAACGGCCTTGAACGCGAGAAAACGCAGCTCAAATGCACTCAGATTTTGCTCTATTAGACGCACTCTTGACTAAAACGGGTAATATCTGTATGATACTTGCCCGTATATGAAGTAGCTACGTGTATATGGATGTAGAGCATCACATAAGAATCAGAGCCACAGATAATATAAAGAGTTTTTATGTGTAAGTAGAGGGTCAACATGAAAGTAGCAGTATTTTGATAAGATACGCAAGGGAAATCAGCAGCGCGAGCTGTTGTTGCGCAGGTTGGTTCTCACCAAAGCGAAGCGAAGATAGAGAGCCATCCGAAGCATAAACACTCGTATGAGGTAAAGCCATCGCCTGATCAAAATCAATGAGCACCTCGTCTCCCCCTCCCCCCTTGATCAGATTCAGGAATATCGTTTCATGAGAATACATGGAAGCAGATCCATCAAATGACTACTTGGCCAAGGACAATATCAGGGCCATTTGCTCCAACAGGTCAAGAAGATTTAGTTAAAAAGTCTAGATCAAAAAGTCTAGCTTGTCACTATGACGAATACCGACAGAGGGCCCAAAAACAGGCGATCAATGAATAGACTTTTGCTTGGAAATGAGAGGATGTCTCGCATCTCACGTGTGTGAGTCACGATTTCGTCTTTGCTGCCCGCCTCTTTTCATTGTGATGTATGTTTGTGCGTAGGCATTGGGGACACGCATCCCCAATTACTCTCTCCTTTTTCTTTTACACACATATATACACTTTTTGTAAGTTTTCTAATAATGTTCCCTACCGTCTTTTGAGGCATGTTATAGTAATTATTGTGGTTAGATCATGGGACAAACACTATCCGAGCCTATCACTGAGAAAACGACCACTCAAGAAGTGAACAGCAAGTACTTTTACGGTTGTTCTCATATGCAAGGCTGGAGATTGAGTAAGTTGTGATCGATGCATGACGACACTCGGCTAACAAACTATAATGTAGCCATGGAAGATGCTCACACTACCCTTTTGAAGCTTGGAGATACCAATGCTAGTTTCTTTGGCGTGTTTGATGGTCATGGAGGTTTGTGGTTTTATGAAAACAGATAAAACGTGATATCAAGTTGCTCATTATAAAGGGTTTCATACAAATAAGGTTCGACTATTGCACAATACACCGGACAAACATTGTACAAAAAGGTCCTTGAGAGCAAACATTTTGAAAAGAAGCAATACCCTGAAGCTCTAAAGGACGCATTTTTGGAATTGGATTCGAGTTTGATCAATGGTAACAGCTGCTTAAAGTTTCTTTGTATTACAAATGCTTATTTCTGGTGTTTTTGCAGATAACAACTTTGCTTATGACCCCTCAGGATGCACAGCTGTAGTCGCTCTTCTTACTGATGATAATCACATCTTTGTCGTTAGTAACAGCCCCTTTCATCTTCATCTTATGTTAACTTATTGACATGGTTTGTATTATAGGCCAATGCTGGTGATTCTCGAGGTGTAATTAGTATCAACGGCAAGATGAAGCCATTGTCATATGATCACAAGCCTACTGATGAGGCAGAGATGGAAAGAATCATCAAAGCAGGTGGTTTTGTTGAGTTTGGTCGCGTTAATGGTATGCGGACAGTGGATAGTCCAAGTGTGTAAACTAAGCCTTATTCATGTCCATAGGCAACTTGGCTTTATCCCGTGCTATTGGCGATTTTGAGTTCAAGCAGAATGAGGCACTTTCTCCAGAGGAGCAAGTAGTAACATGTAAGTTGGTCAAACGCATCAAGATGCACACATCTGATGGTTGAATTTTAGGTAATCCCGACATCATTGATCATAAAATTACAAAGGACGACGAATTTTTTGTGTTGGCTTGCGATGGTAAGAAGAACGATGATACGTACTCGAGTGCTTTAACTGATACAAGCTGACTGTAGGTATTTGGGATTGCATGTCTAACCAAGAAGTTGTTGACTTTGTTCGTTCCGGCATTGCGCAAGACAAGACGCTCGACACTATCTGTGAGAATATAATGGACAATTGTTTGGCTGATGATCAGACATCCACTGGACTTGGTTATGATAACATGTCAGTGATGATAATCGCCATTCTCAATGGTAAGACGGAAAAAGAGTGGTATCAATGGATCAAAGAAAAGAGTAATGGTAGCAGTAACAAGATGACCGCTGCGCCATCCTCTGCCGCCAAAGCAAGCGAGCTTCCAGATTTCACACCTTCTAAATTAACCACACCTACCGCACCCATCACCACAACACCCACAACGACAACGCCTACTGCAGCAGCAGCAGCAGCAGCAGCAGCAAGTACACCTTCCCCTCCTCCTGCCAAAGAATAGCGAAACTAGGCCTCTGTAACTATATATTCAAATCTTATAATAATATAAATTATTAAACACAAGAAAATGGCAGAATGTATAATGAGGGCTTCATTGCTTGATGGAATGCACAGATAAATGTAAAACAATAGTGACTCCTATATCAATGCAAACCATAGCGCTACTTTCTGAATATGATTCATGTGGATGGGAAATTCGGTTGGCCATGCTATCATATTGAATTTCCTCTTTTGATTTGCCACCACTGAGAACTGTCTGTGAATAGTCTGTACCCGTGGACCTAGCTTTTTCACAATGCTCCACACCTGTATCAATGAGAGTATTGCATATACGAGCTGATACCATACATGCATTATCGCTTATTACTCAAAAGTATGCTTAATTTGAGTGCATTTGGGCTGTGTTTCTTCGTGTTATACGCCGTCCTTGACCGCCAGAATAGCACCAAGCAATCTCTCTCATCTAATAGTAACTGTCTGACACTTTTGCTTCACTTTTTTGGGACCTAAAAAAACATCGACCAAAATCCATCAAAAACCATGAGGGATACCTCATGGTTTTCATCGAAAATCAAATGATCGCGTTTTTAACCTCCAAAATGAAGCCTTTTACTATGTTATGATATCATATCAAAATGTCGCTATGGATCCAACGCAACCCCTAAGATCGCTTTTGTGAGACAACGATATGTGAAGCCTCGACATTTTGGTCATAAATGTCATTTCACATTTTCCAAAATTGCTCGGCAATCTTGTTCAAAACATCATCAAAAATAGCACCATTGGATGCGCTTTGAAAAGTACTCCAAGAATGTATTAGAAAGTAAGGGACGATCATTACGACTTATATAGTCTAATTTTGCAAAATAGATCAACTGAATCGATTCAAGGCCGAAAGATTTTTTTTTTTTTTTTGTAGAAGGCCGAAAGATTGCCATTTCTAATAAAAAAAACGTCTGAATTCAAAAAAAATTAGCTGGCAAAATACCTTTCTGATGAATGTAAACGATGTTTTTGAGGTTTTCAACAGGGAAATTGCATAACCAAGAAGCACTAGTCTAATCTGACAATCTTTTACACATTCCGTTACAGAATTATTCATACTTTTAAATTTGATTGTTGTCATTTGCATGTTTAATAGCGAATCTGTGGCCAAATGCAAAATTGTCATCTTACTCGAAATGGTGCATGTTTGAGGCCTGTATGAAGTTCATAATAAATCATCTAGATTTGAGCCATTGTCAAGCCGAATCACGGCTTTACATCAAAAAAATCAAAAGCCATGCAGTGCTTGGGACTTGCATTGATGATCACTAGTTACAAATGTTCAAGATAATCCATTTGCTCATTAAATACATTTAGAATTCCTCAGTTACTCGCCATGGACATGAAATTCATAAACTTCCGCATTCTTGATTTAAATAAATTGGAAAATGCTCACACTATCCCATGGATGAGAGACAAAAGAGTGGAATGGCAACAATATATAGCTGTTGGTTCGATCAGCAGCATCTTTTCCCCTGGGCATCGCAAATTCTTGATATCCAGACGATATATAATTTAGTTTCTAACCTAATTCAGTTTGATTTATTTCAAAATTTCGATAGATTTCTACAATTATCATAGAACACTATGGAATAATTGTAGTCGCAAGATTTAATTCCAACTCTGATTAAAAACAAAACGTATATTAACTTCCATCATTAAAAATTAAGCCATGTTAATCTGATCTTTTACGATAGCGAAGCAAAGGTGTGCCCTTGTCATGATTTTGAGAAGATTCAAGCTCATGATTTTTACAATGAGCTGCATCTTGATATTCATATAGACAGTTAACGATAGGGTTGGTTTTCAGGGAAGACCCAACCTAATGTTGTACGATGTTGACTAAAAAAAAAAAAGCTATATTTGCAAAACTTTTCATGAACATTTTTTCAGCAACCAAGAAACCTGGATTTGTTTTCAATCAAGGCTGATTTCTCTCGTCTTATTTTTTTTTATGAAGATTGCAGGCAATCGAAATAATGTCTTTAGGACCAATTGGTATTGTCTATCCATTTGGCTCATTTAAGAAAAATGCTCATAGATATGTGTCCGGATCAAAATAAAGTTTTTTTTTTTTTTTTTCAGGCACAGCATTTCTTGATGAATCATGTGGTGTTTCTTAAACATTGAGTACATTACACAAGAGCCGAGTTGTTATCATTTTTGTACTGAACACTACAAATGGAAAGAAACAGAAACAAAAAAAAGCTTAATTCGCTTATACTTTTTAGTGCGAAAATGAGTGAGCAGGGTTATTTTGGGGCCCTGTCACAAACACATTGGATGTTGGTATGCAAATGATCTCATTCTGATGCCACACCATACTTCTGATCTTGCAATTCTTGTTTATAGAGCTTGTATCAGTTGGGTTTTAATTAAACTCTACTAGGATCAAACATTCTGAATTCGGTTGAATGGGAAGATTTGGTAATAAAATTTTAGTTTCTAAACTATACATGTGGAGAGGAGTGCAAGAGGAGGCAGCGAGAGAAAGAGAGGGGCCAGAGCCTATGGCCACACATTATATATATATATATATATATACAATATCAATGTAGGTTCATTTGAAATAATAATCCATTTGAACGTATTTTTACAAGCAAACTAAGAAGAAAGGCTCCGATTAGTAAAATTGGACTTATTAATTAAACCATCGTTCCAAATGCAATGCTTGAATAATGAGAGACAGAGAAGAATAATGATAGTTTAAACGTACAACTGTGAAATGGCGAATGACTAATAATATACTATACAAGGCTTGGGCTGGTTTCTTATTCAGATATTTTTATTCTTTGGTTTTCTTGTGCAAGGGTGATTTTCACACAATATTAAAACCGATAAAGAAAATTTAAGCATTTTTCTTCCTTCTCAAGTGTGTGATGGTCATAATTTCAAGTCTCAACATTTACTGTTGAATCCAGGTGTGCCTTGTGAGTGATTTGATCAATACAATACACAAATAAACAAAGTAGATGCTTCAGGACATTCCATTGCTTGTTGATAAACGAAAAGCTTAAAAGAACTAGTTTCTGACATTAGTAATATTTAAGCTTGCCTTGCCATCCCCATCTCTGTTTCTCTCAATCTCTTCCCTAAGGACATTCCGTTGTGTATAGTCATGCACAAGGAGAATGACCATATGGAAACCAAGCATTCTTTATCCATAATTTAGGTTTATCAGTATTATTATTCTTGCGATTAGTCTAATTGAGAAAACAAAATAGAACTTTAGGGAGCTCAGTCCTACAATCATTCAAGGAGTATATGGTCTTCTTGTATAATTCCCGCCAAAAATATGGGGGGTGGTTCCGTATTTGAAATGATTGCGAATTTCGAATTGTTGAGCTATTAAATTTTAAGCGGGTTTAAATTCCTAGATGGGCCAACAATGTTTCATTTCTCAAGATGGCTCTTTCTGCTTACTAGTATCGATTGAGCGAGAGCACATGTAGCGTGATTTAGGGAAACGAGTGGCCAAGGTCTAGACTTGCAGCGTTTTTCTTCTTTCAATTTCTAAATACATGTAATACAAATACTGATGACTCTGTGTGTCATGACATCAAGCAAAGGCAATCGAGATATTTCCCGATCCAGGTTTAAAAAGGTCCATAAAATAAACTCCCTTTATAATTTTCTCCCTGTTTATAATTTAGTCTAACCCCCCAAAGAATGCAGATTCTTTTGGCCCCCTTTCTATTTTTGCATGAAACATCACAATTATCTGTTTAATTCTTTTCGCGCTTTTACATGACATAATTTGCTGATCATAAAAAAAGTTTAAAAAAATTTGTGTATATAAAGATTTTATCTTCATCCCATTTTTTACCTTTCTTCTTCTTGTTCTATACATTTTCCTTCTTTTTTTTTTCTCCCCTCCCCCCCCCCTATCATATACATCATGGAAACCTACATTGGCTACATAAAGACACCTCAGGACGCCTTGATGGTATTTGAAGCATGCAGAAGAAATCAACTGGTCAGAGTACAGCGCAGATTATCCTCTAAAGAAAGAATCCAAATTCGATCAGGTTCCGTTTTTGCTTGGGATGAAAGAGAAGCTGGAATGCGTCGTTGGACGGATGGTCGCACCTGGTCTCCTAGTCGTGTATTAGGCAGCTTCCTGACTTATCGTGAATTGGATACAAAGCGTAGACCTCGTCGTCCTTCCAGCATTAATACAACCAAATCATCGGCTGCTTGCTCGTACAAACCAGATGGCCTCATTAAACAGAGTTTCTCCATTTGCACTGCCACAAATCAAAAGCTACACTTGATTTCTTACTACTCAAAATCTGATGTATTGGCTGGACGCTTGCATCAGCCCACCACCGACCCTGCCTTGAGTACTATCAGCATACCTAAAGGCCTATATCCTGAATTGAACCCTCTAGACACCAGTGGTGGCCACTCGGCTACACTCCACAACATGAGAGATTCCGCATTACCATCAAGCCCTTGTTTATCCACCATCTCATCCACTAATGATAGCTATGATTCTCCCTCTCTTTCTCCATCTCTTCCGCCTTCCTTATCGTCCTCCTCTCCAAGCACATGTGATGACGATGCTATGATGACTGATGTATTACCATCACCGCATTCCATGTATTCTTCTGTATCGCCCTACTCTAGCAACTTATCGCCCATGATTGCCACCAGCTGCACAACAGGTTTACCAGCTCAAGACATTGCTTGGGAGAAGATTCCCTCTTCTGAAGATCAGAGACAGCTAGGTGCTCTCCAAAGCCTACTGCGCTTATAAATCTACCTACCTAATTTTTGTACTGTACACACAAACAAGACCCAACATATACACACTGCCATTATAGAATTCTTTATCTATTCACACACTACGCATTTCTTTCCTTCTTTTTTTTTTCTATGCTCATATTTATGATTTATATACCACCACTTAATACTTGTAAAATCTACAATAATTTGCTCTTTTTTTTTTTTTTTTTATCTTACTATACAAATAATAATAAACAATGTGTTATTTCTAGTAAATCATTTTAGTGAAGCCCCCTTTTGACCCCCAAGATACATCAATATAAACATAAATGAAATGGGAACAAAAAGAGGGAGTTTTTGACCTCTCCCCCTTGAAAAATATAGCAGCATGCAAAAGCATGTGTTTTTTCATCAAGAAAGACAAGAATAATAAATCGGCTTTAAATTTTCTGTTACAAAAAAGTAAAAAGCGCAACTTTTAATTCCTAAACACATGGCTATTCCACCCAACAAAGACACAAACATTCTATTAAATTCTACAGGATAATCATTTATTCAATTTATAATACAATTTTTTTTTTTTAGAGCTTGGGGCCAGCAGCCAAAGTCTCAGGTGCGGCTTCATCTTCGTATGTCTTGAAGTTGTCAACAAACATTTGTCCAACATTACGGAGAGAGGTATTAAATTCTTCAGCAGTACCGTTCCAGGCAGTCTTGGGGTTCAAGAGCTCGGAGGGAACATTGGAGACAGATTTGGGAATTTGCAAGTTGAAGATTTCAAGATCCTCATATTCAGCCTTGGCCAATTCACCATTGTGGATAGCGTCCAAAATGGCACGAGTGTACTTGAGAGGACAACGCTTGGAAGTAGCAGCAGAACCACCGATCCAGCCAGTGTTGATCAACCAAGCATCAGCCTTGTGTTCAGACATCTTTTGAGCCAACATGGAAGCATAACGTTGAGGATGGAGGACCAAGAAAGGAGCACCGAAACAAGCACTGAAAGTAGCTTGAGGCTCAACAATACCGTCTTCAGTACCGGGCACCTTGGTAGTATAACCACTGATGAAGTGGTACATGGCTTGCTCGGCAGTCAACTTGGAGACAGGAGGCAAGACACCAAAGGCATCACAGGTCAACAAGATGATGTTCTTGGGGTGGCCACCCATACAAGGCAACTTGGCATTGGGAATGTGGTAGATGGGATAAGCACAACGGGTGTTTTCAGTCAAGAAATCGTCAGAGTAATCAACTTCACGGGTCTCTTCATCCAAGACAACATTCTCCAAAATGGCACCAAACTTGATGGCGTTGAAAATATCGGGCTCCTTCTCACCAGACAAATCAATACACTTGGCATAACAGCCACCCTCAATGTTGAAGACACCGTTATCAGACCAACAGTGTTCATCATCACCAATCAACATACGCTTGGGATCAGCAGAAAGAGTAGTCTTACCAGTACCTGACAAACCAAAGAAGAGAGATACATCACCGTTGGGGCCTTCATTGGCAGAGGAGTGAAGAGAAAGGACACCAGCCTTGGGCATCAAGTAGTGCATGACAGTGAAGATCTAAGCAATGAAGAAACAAAAATTAGATCTCGGCTATAATTTAAAGTTTTCTACCCCACATTTCAAGATGACTACTTACACCCTTCTTCATTTCACCAGCATATTCAGAACCAAGAATGACCATTTCAGCGCGCTTAAAGTTGACGGAAACAGAGGTAGTAGATGTCATACCAGTAGTATAACGATTGGCGGGGAACTCGCCAGCATTGAAAATGGTGAAATCAGGAGTGCCAAAGTTCTCGAGTTCCTCCTCAGTGGGACGGATCAACATGTTGCGCATGAACAGCAAGTGGTAAGCACGAGAAGCGACAACACGCACCTTGATACGGTATTTGGGATCCCAACCGGCAAAACCATCAAAGACGTACAAACGAGGACGGGTGTTGAGGTAGTCGATAGCACGCTCACGGTTGATCAAGAAGACCTTTTCGCTGATGGGAGTGTTGACAGGACCCCACCAGATATCCTTCTTGGAGGTCTCTTCCTCGACAATACGCTTGTCCTTGGGAGAACGACCAGTTTTCTTACCAGAATAGGCACAAAGAGCACCAGCGGACGAGATGACGGTACCTTGCTCATAGGTCAATGCTTGCTCGTAGAGGACAGCAACGGAAGGATTGCGCATGATGGTGACCTAATTGCACGAGTTTATATCTGTAGGTGTTGGTTTGTTTGCTTGTTGTATGCGTGTTTACCTTGTCATAATCAATACCAGCGTATTCGTGGAGATCTTCTTCGACCTTGGTGTGAACTGAATTGGCACTGGAGGGTCTACCGCCAGTGTAAGGGGATCCGGGTCTTGAGGCAACCATTGTTGTATATAAAATTGATAAAAAAAAGATAAATTGAAAAGAAAAGCAAAAACACAGGTTTCCTAACTCTCTTATTTATACATGTTGGTTGGCTTGTGAAAGTGTGAATGGATCTACACTTCTTTAACATGAATTGCACTGTCAATGAGTCGGAAAATGCCGGAAACAGGCTCACTTGGGTTGCCCCGAAATACTCCCCTTTCCCCTTTTTCATCCGTGAAAACGTAGTGCATGTGAAAATAATCACATTAAAATTTGTAAAATCATACTCCCGAGGTATATCTGTTAAATATATATAGAATTGTGCGCATAGTTGTTATGAGACGCTTTGTATGTGATTTCATAGTAGAGCAGTAAAAAAAAAAAAAAAAATCAAGAACAGTATAGAGCGTATGTTGTTTATTGATCAATAAGAGAAAGAAAGGCTATTTTTGCCACAATCCATAGGATTTTGTTGGGTCTGTCTGCCATAAACGAATGGTGCCATCTTCTGATCCAGTTGCATAAATTTCACCATCAGGGCTGTAGCTTACTGTATGAATGGGTCCATGATGGCCCTTGTAGACCTCTAATCTCAACATTAGCACACACACACACACAAACCATGTATCAATTACTTGGTATACTTGCCTGAGACTTCACCAGACTCAAAGTCGTAAATACGAACCCACAGATCCTCATCACTTCCAGCAACAAACTTCTTATGGCCAGGATGCAAAGAGACAGAGGACGTTTTCTCCTTGGTGACAATGGTCTTGACATCCTCAAAGCTAGATCCAGGCTTCCAGAAGTTGGCAGTCTTTCCAGCAGCCCACGCAATATACTCACCACTGCCGTCAAATGTCATGGTAGAGATGGGTGCCTCGCATTGGATAGTGCCGCTCTGACGCATGGTACGCAGATCCCAGATACGGACAGTAGCATCATCGCCAGCGCTCAATACGGAATGGCGATGTGCTTCGTCCCATACAACTGCCTTAATCATACCTTCATGGCCTTGCAACTCCATGGGCGGTGCTTCGGGTCGATACAGGTCAAAGATTCTCAGCTTCTGCTCCTTGCCACCCGTCAAGATCTTGGTACTGTCCTCGTTGAAATCAGCAGCACGGACAATGTGATTGTGAACAAATGAATGCAGTTCTTGACCATTGTGCGTATTCCACACTTTGGCACTAAAGTCGGCTGATCCAGTCACTGCCTTTTCAGCATCTCGAGAAAGTCTTGCGCTCCAAACAGCTCCTTTATGCCCTTGAAATGTGCCTATCCAGTCGCCTGTAACGCCTTCACGCAACATAGGATTGCCATCTAGTGTGTCCAAGCATGAGATGTCTATATTTTCCAGTAGTCATAGACTTACCTTTGCAAGCCGATATCAAGTAGTATTTTCCTTGTGGCGTGATGGATGAAAATTGAATGTCGACAACAGGACGTGTATGTCCAGAACAAGTTAAAGGAATGATGCGGTTGCCATTAGTGCTGTTGTTATTGGGTGTGTTCATTATATGGGAAATAGTATGTACAAGTTGTGGTATATATGAGATATGTATATGTAAAAGAAAAAACCACTCTTCCTGTTGCAAAGCTCTCTCAACTCACTCTCCTCTGCGCAATTTAGAAAGAGGAGAAAAAGAAGACGAGCTGAAATCAAGTCTGTGTGAGAGTTTGGCAACATTCAAGCTCCCCCTTCTCGCCTCTTGTCTCTCATCTCGCCTACAAACACGCGTCATACAAGCTATTCTTTTTCTCGCTTCAATCATCAAATGTCCTCCATTCAAGCAGATACAGACACAGATTTAATCCAGCAATTGGAGCTCCAGATACGCAACCTATTAAGCAAAGATGAGCTACTAGCTGATGTGCCGTCATATGCCACTGTGGAAGAATTGGAGGCATTGCTGTCCATCGAAAAGGGACAGGCCTACAATATCAGCATTGAGCGACAGCCCCTTCCGTCTATTGGTAACCCAAAAAGCGCCTCAATGTGAGATGCCTGTTGTTTTTGACATTTGATCCGTTGTAGATATCATTGTGCGGCAATCATCCACAGTGCGAGACATCAAGCGTATGATCAAATTACATGTCAATCGGCAATCCATGCGTAAACAGATCAGCTGGAGATACATTTGGAGATCGCACTGTTTGGAATTTCAAGGCACAAAGCTGCTCAATGATGATGCTGTTGTTAGTCAATTGGGCATCAAGCAGCACAGCGTGCTCAAGTTTGCCAGATTGCCTCATGAAAAGGGCCAGCATCGCAAAGCCTGGAAGCATCGTCCTTGATCTCTCTCCCCCCCCCCCCTCACATTAGATGTTTCTGCCACGCGAGTCTACCAAGCAGCAAAAAAAAAACTGCAGCCGGCAGATCATTTAATCTTGATGATGATAATGATATAGTGATGCAAATGTCACATTTCCACCTGTTTGTTTATAAGGAGACATCGATGATATAGTATCAGAATTAATTTGTTCGTATAAACCAACACTATATATATATATACTCATGACTTTTCTTGTAGTATAGCTGTCCAATGCAGGAGTCCTTACTTTACTATATATGAAATAGTATCATCATCTGCTCTGATGGCTATATTGCAATACACGGTTCCTATTGAAACAGGCCAATCGGAAAGCATCAATAATTGACAACAATTTCAGTAACAACTTGTTTGCATTCAATATGTGTGTAATAACGTGGTGGAAAGACGTATATTTAGCTAAATGATCCCCTGGATGTATATTTATAATAAATACACACGCCCCTTGGTTCGAGTGCTGATTGACAATTCCATTGCGAAGAGGAATCTCTCTGGTTTTTTTAAGAAACGCATCTATTATATAGGTTGTCTGTGTCGGCTGTAGTTTGACATGTTATCACAAAGAAAACATATATACAAATACGAATGCACATGTAAGGCAAATGAGTTATCTGTGATACAAAGGTGGATTCGAAATATCCCAAATCTTTCACTGATCCCATCACGTGTGAAAGACCTACCTCCTCTTCCGTTAATGTCATTAGCCAGAGGTAATTTAGAGATATTTGACTTGTGATATTTATTGAGATGTAAGAAAAAAAAAAAAAAAAAAAAAAAAAAAAAAAAAAAAACGAAAGAATACATGTACTCTAAGGCCAGTCGATAAATTGGGTGGCAATTTTAATGTTAGAATATTACATAAAGGGAGAAGGAGGAGGAGATGAGAGAAAAGTATAAATGTATAGGGGACTCTGTCTTAATTACAATCGGTTTCCGTACTTTACCAAATTACCAGAACTACCGAGAAAATAAAGGGATAAAAGAAAAATAGAACAAAGGGGTAGGAGGGAGGGAGGGGCTGCTTCCTTTATGGAGCAGCACTTGAGTGAATTTTGGCATGGCGGCGAAGATTACTGACTACGGAGAAGCGACGACCACAGCCATCAACTACACATTTGTAGGGTTTCTATACAAAAGAGTCCGTCAGCATCAACTGGTATACAGGATGAGCATCTAGATGAGACTTACTTCGCCAGTGTGGCTATGCATGTGAGTAGCTAAAGAGCTCGGGCGAGTGAATCGCTTGATGCACAGGGTACATTTGTATCTTCTGGGTGTGTTGACGGATTTCTCGTGGCTCAGAGTCGAATCAATACTGTTTCTAGATTTATATTGTCTCTTGATGCCGGTAACACTGGTGCTGTGGCGAGCATAAGGTGATGGATCATAGAAACCAGATGACATGCTATAAAAGGATGGTTGTGGTGGTGATTGTGTTGCTGGAGGTGTTGGCAGTTGACATAGACATCCCGGAGTGTAACATGGCTGCATTGGCATTGGAGATGATGCATTTGAATCAAAATAATAGTCAATAGGATAGTCTACTGGGGGAGGTGGCGGTGGTAGTGAAAGGGCTCTATAATCTTGCTGAGAATGTGTTGCTGAAGGGTAGAATGGGTCGGCGGGTGGCGTTAATAGGGGCATTCCTCCTCCTCCTTGATAAGCATCATAAAACGAGTCTGGTAATGGTGAAAGAATCTCTTGTTTATCCAATGTATTGTACATGGATGGAGCATACATTGGAAAGCACTTTTCATCTTGAATTCTTGATGCACTGCTGCTGCTTGCAAAGCTATAGGTAGGAGAATCAACATGGTGGAACTCGGGCGAAAATGAGCGGGAAGGAGCCATCAAAGTATGATTGCTGCTGGTGGGAAATGGGATGTATGATTGAGGGGCAAAAGAGCTATTTGAAGAATAAGACATAGATTCCATTCTGATGGTTTGATAGAGACTGAAAGAAAGAAAGAAAGAGAGAGAGAGAGAGATGGAATTGATCTGATCAGTGGTGTGCTTTTATAATTAGTTTTTTTAAGGGGAAGGCTTTCCTTATTACCGCTACACTACTGTTCTTAAGGGACATCAACAACATCCATCAAATGGAACACAAAGGATTTCAATTATAGAAATATGATTTTACTATCCACAAGATTTTACATATAATAATGCTTCAAACAGTTAATTCTTCAGCCTAATAAATTGCAATAGCAATATAGAACCAAGTAGGTTTCCATGACTAAAATTCTTTATGCCCGGGAATCATGACATATTAAGCTTTTCCCCTAAAATGTGTTCCCTGGAAATACATATAAAAGTTATAAAAAGACGTCAACAAAGAGTGAAATGGATCAAGCCGAACGAAAAAATAGGAGAGGATGAGATTACGATTAAAACAGTATTTATATTAGGGGAAGCAGAATGAGTGGGTACCTCGATAGTTTCTGCAGAGAGAGAGAGATTCTCTGATGCTGAAATGGTAGTGTTTATCAGGGTCAAAGTAAAACAAACAACACTGTTATGAGAGCAAAGAAATAACTCGAGAAGAACCCCCTTGATTTGAGGGTGATAAAGTCACCTTTTTGGCGTAGCAAACCTGCAATTGTATGCAGCATTTGTTATTGTTGTTGTTGTTGTTGTTGTTGTCGTCGTCGTCGTCGTCGCTGTCGATTACTTGTGTCGTGCTGGCTGCGAGTAGCTTCAGGTTGCTGTGCTGTGATATCAGTAAAAAACAACAAAGAAATGCCGTACCAAATCAACAATCAAATCAAGAAGAGCAGTAAAACATAGACATTTGCAATGTAATTTAATATATTGCAATATACACATAATGAAAAAAAAAGGAGGGAAATACAAGACTGTACAGTTTCAATAGGGGCTATAGACTTCATTTCGTCATGACCATATCGCCACCCGTTTTGTTTGTTCATCTTCTTTGGCTTTCTTTCCTGTTCAATGGAAGAAACTATAAAATCGAACCCCTATCTTCTAGCTAGGCGCTGGCTGTCAACAGAAACTCCCTGCTTCTTGTATAACACTATTAAGCTTTTTGCATATCAAATCACCTTGATTATTTCTGAAAATTCCATTCAGCAAGTGCTCAATCTAAACAAATATACAAACGGCAATTCTTTGAAAAAGGAATTATACATGAATTTTTGTTTTTTTAAGGAGTTCCCTTTTTTTTTATATGTTAGTAAAAAAGAAAATGATGGATTTATGATTAAAGTAGAACAGAGGGCATAATTCAGAAGCGGTTTATCTTAATAATTGATTGGCAAATTTGTCTTTGGCGGTTTGATAAGCTTGCATCAAAGTTTGTTCGGAAAAGGGAATGTCAACCATGTCCATGCGAGGTTTAGATACTCGACTGACAATTGCATTTGAATCGGTTTCCAGTATAATGCTACACAATAAGCATTAACTATATACATCCATCTCTCTCTCTCTCTCACTCTCTCTTAGTTCACACAAACTTACCCTCCATCAACTGTCTCATCAAGACAAAGGATGACTAAATCCAAATTATCCATAATAGAGCGCTTTTCAACTTGATATCTACATTATGCCATCAGCGCTTATTCTTTCTTTCATTTTGGTTGTCCCCCTTTGTTCTTCTCTCTCTGGATACTGTACCTGAGTAAAGTAGAAACGGCGTCATAGAAAGCATTCAACATGCTCAATAGAATCAGCTCATTCTCCTCCATAGAACCAACAACGTAAAAGAAAATGTCGATATTTGAGCGATATAGTACTACTTGGTTGTCGTATAAAATAACCTCGCCTATGGTGCAAACATGTTTCCATACATCAGTATTGAGCGCATACGATTCACAAACATCCACACTGCTGACTCACCTTGAGCACGCTTCGTTTTATCAAATAAGCCCTTTTCAAACTGCTTTTGCTGCTTCAATGTAGTGTTCTCTCCACCATAGTATTTGGCTAATACGCGATTTCCCTCGGCATCAAGCAAGATGACAGCCTTGATAGAATACAGAGAAAGGTTGACCATGATGATTTTGTCGTGTTGGTTGAGAAAAAAAGAGGAATAGCCAAGTGTGCCACAATTGAATTGTGTGTCTAAATGTGAAAGGTCACTTATTAGGGCTCCGGTTTAAGCCTAAGCGATCCCTGATTTCAGCATAAGTTTGCTAGTTGTGTACGATTTGATGCTTAAGCGTATGACTCTAGCTTGAATGTGAAATCTAACATGACATGGCCATGTTATTTACTGTAAAGTGCTTTTAACTGTAGTTGAATGCTATAAGCTGAACGTATTCCACCTACATGGATCAGATCATCATTATGTCTGATTGTCATCACGCCTATCACTCTCTAAGATCCAGCTGAACACTCATTCTATTCTGCTGCCTTTGCCTAAGTCATTATCTTTTTCTACAGTGTAACTGAACTTACAAGCAGCTGTTTTGCTGTTGTTTTTACTGTTAATAATGCCAGTGGCAAAACTCGCAACTATCTTACCTTTGCCCAACCTCACAAACAAAGCGCAAACCATCCGACTGCCAGACTTATTCAAAACATACAAGCAATGCCATGACAAGTCAAGCAGAAGCAACAGAAGCCTTACCATACCATTTTTTCTCTGCTGCCAAGCATACAGAGCTCGAGTCAAGGAAGTCCACGCACACCTTGGTGGCTCATCTGGATCGAGAAAGACTTGTTTCTCTTGGGTTCCACTAGCCCCATTATGCTTGGTGCTAAGTTGCCTGCTTCATCTTACCTTTCAACCTGACAAATGAGTCACTGTACGATGTACCTATATTTTGATGCTTGCTTTAATCAACATCGAAATAGCATGCCTCTTGCTGGCAGACTTATTGGTGTGCAATAAATCCTTTAATAATGGAAGCAGAAAAAGGAAGAAATGTGAAAAGTAAGATACCGAGTATTTGCAATATATCTGTGCCCGATCAAAGACACTAAGGCTATAGTAGGTAGCAACGACACCTGTCCCTCATATACTGTTTGAAAACCAACTTGCATGATAGAGGACCTGCTTGACAATGCGCTTGGATCAATTAGCTAATTTTCAGGTGGCACATGAAATTCGTTAATAGTAGTGTTTCGTTTTCCTTCGCCACTTTATAACAATCCATATTAAAAAAGACATCAAACACACACTATCACAGCCATGCTATTAGCATAGTAGCATCATATTAGTACTACGTACATTAATGGGCTCCTAATGCTGCCGATCAACAGGTATAAAACAGCTAGAATGCTTATTGATACATCGGATTATGTTGAGCTTCAGTCCGCTCAGTGATAGAGACACTGATCACAGTACAACATTCAGTGCATAGCAAGAAGGTACATCTCCACTTGATCATCCTTGCTCCTTCGCTATAACTAACGATAATAAAATCATAGTACAGAATTCAAATTTTCAAATGGTTTTGTATTTCTCTGATGATCTACATGCCCCTCTTGGTAAATACTACAATTCAGGATATCGGCTTGAAGGCATTATTCTGCCTATTTATACTGGATACACCAGAAAACAACTCTGTCGTATTCATAATGGCGCAGGCTAATGATTACAAGGCAGATATCAGGTGCAATGATTTCATATATTATTATCATATATCAGCATGGATTTTTTACAACAGTAAGCAAAAAAAAATAGTTGGTATTAACTACTTTGTTTAATGTTGTTGTCCTGCTGCTGTTTTGACATTTTGTTCTCTTGGATTACTCTCATAAGATAAGATACACAGTGATACAATCAGATTTCTTGCTGAAATTAATTCAGGATATTCTTTTTGGAAAAATCGTATTCAGATAGAGCTGTAAATGTACAATGTATTTTTTAGAGGACTTTGTTATTAAGGATATACCTTGTAAAATTCTCGGTAAGACTTTTTGTGTACTTGTCTTCTTCAATTTTTCCTCTAAAGAAGGAGTTGATGGGCATTGATAGTAAACTTTCACAGTTCTCTAAGGTGCTAATTGTGTTTTCATGGGCCAATAACATTAATGATTTAAATCACACATATCAACACATTTGATGTATCATTTCTAAACCGGATCTCCAAATGCGTAGAAGCAAGTATTTCAAGCACCGATCACATCAGATCATAAACTTTGACATGAAACAAGATTCAGTTACGATCCATATCATGGCATGTTCAGGATAATAGATTGGATCTATTATTATCCTATTACCCAAATCAACCCATCTAATACCTTATCCTCACATCAAATCCCTCAATTCAAATAGTATATAAACCCTCTTATTTCCAATGTAATAAACGAAATTCTTTACCTGATTAATTTCATACTCTTTTTTATAAATAATTTATTTCTGATAAATCATATTGAGTTTTTTCAGTTAAGATCGCTGTGCATATATTTTGCATCTTCAAACAGGGATTGTTACAGTTGACTAGTACGGAATTGGAAATAAAACCTATCATGTTTCGTTCTAAAATGACAGAATGAATTTCAACATCATGATCTATTAATACAAGGCATTCAAAAAAAAATACTTTGTATTGTCATAATTCAACAAAAAGTTGCTCATGCGAAGTTTTACAGTTTTGTAACGTTGGAATCTGTACATTGTTATTTGTAAATAGTAGCTCACATTATAAATGTTGATTTATTAGAAATAAAATATTTATAAAAAAGAGTATGAAATTAATCAGGTAAAGAATTTCGTTTATTACATTGGAAATAAGAGGGTTTATATACTATTCGAATTGGGGGATTTGATGTGAGGATAAGGTATTAGATGGGTTGATTTGGGTAATAGGATAATAGATCCAATCTATTATCCTGAACATGCCATGATATGGATCGTAACTGAATCTTGTTTCATGTCAAAGTTTATGATCTGATGTGATCGGTGCTTGAAATGCTTGCTTCTACGCATTTGGAGATCCGGTTTAGAAGTGATACATCACAATAAAACGTTTAGGAAAAAATACAGGTAAGAACAACATTTTATTAGGGAAGCAAAATTTCAAATTCCGATTTCCATTTCGTGTTCCGATTTGGAACCCCACTCCAGCCAAGATGACGATGGTGCAAACCGAATTTGCGTAGATAGCATGGTTGTTGAAACATCCGCAATTTTTGAAATTTGCAAATGTTGGACAGATGGTATTAGTAAAACTTTTTGGGCTACTATACAAAGGTGGGGCACGTGTGTAGTAAAAGTTGTAGAGAACAGATTGTTTGAATAGGTCGAGTTCTATCTGGGCTTATTGAGAGCAATGTCAATGAATAATGAGGAAAAGAGCGAAAATGGACAAATTTCAAAGGGCTGTACCGCTGGATTTTACTAAATGAACCCAGGTGTTGTATTCAAAGATACAGTATTAACAAATTAAGATAGATTTCAAAAAAGGAAGACTATAAAAAGTAACCAGATACGAAAACTTCTAGATTTATTAACTGATTCAAACACATCCTATTTATAAGAGATCATTACTGATGAATCATCAATCTATCTTGTTGTTTCAACTGAGTCAATACATCGTATCATGTTTATCTAATACCATTCAATTGAAGGATCCGATTCGTTCGATCAGCCATGATGATACAATCTGTAGCCATCATTATCCTTCACTATCAGAGACCATCATAACCGATTATATGATTCACTTCTGTGTCGAACCTAATGTCCTAATGTAGACAGTGAGAAACAATGTAAATCATGATCCGACTCTTGCTGAGTTACTGAATGTCCGCAACCGCTACAGACTCAACACCAGGCCTAAAGCTTAATAGCTTCTGTTTCTCTTTCAATTTTCTATACGATGGTATGGTTATTATAGATAAATAAATAAAAAATTGAATATCCCCTGCTTGTAGTTCATAAAATATAAGGTTTTGAGCATATTTATGAAGGAAACGTACATCTGGTACTTCAAACCCTCATGTTATAATGAATATAACGTAGAGCTATCGAAAAGTCTTTGTTTTATGTGAATCCAGTGAGTATTTGTCGAGATATGGTCAAAAAAAAGTATCATGCAAAATCATGGATTTTTCTTCAAAATCTGCCTGTGACAGCAAGCGAAAAATTTGGGTGACCTCCTTTTTGTCAGGACAATATTGTCCATATTTTATGATAGAGTTATGACAGAGCGTCAATCAATAGCTCATCCGATAGGAAATTTTTTGGTCTACAATGTTTAGTAATGCTTAACAAAATGTTTTGATACCAGATACTGATTAATCTTTAGAAAACAGTCAAAAAATCGCAAAAACAATCGTACCAAATATCAGGTGAATAATGTACACCAGAGACTTGATATGGATACCATTGTCTTCTCCTTTGAATTCTCTACAAGTTATATATAAGTTTGAAGGGGTGGTTACTATCAAGAAACGCGTACTTTTAAGGTCGATAGATTTCGGAATCCCATGGATCATCATTCAGAAAATAAAAATTGAATCTCCGTTGAGCTTTTGCATGTGTACACCACACATGTATGCATTTGATTAAGCATTTTAAAAATTGGTGCGTAGGAAAAGGGCCATATTAACTTGATGGTTTTAAGCTATCAATAGATACTGGACATGTTGGAGAATCTTGCTTTTAGGACTAGACAGTTGTAGCTTGCTTTGTTCGATAATAATAAGATTTGCAATTTAAGGTATGCATATTCCCCCGCTTAAAAATAGCATGTACAATGTGGATTATCTCATGAAACAGACGTTTCCAATATAATGTTCCCACTAAAAAGTTGCTCCTGTGGAATTTGAGGCTTTATAGACGAAAATTCACGGAAAAAAAAGAATAAAAAAAACAGTAAAGTCAACTTGATAAAGGTATGTTTTATTATCAAACTGACAGGTGTAAAGTAAACTGAAGGATCTCTACTGGCCAGTTAGATGATCCTTCTTATATACTATAACAATGGATAAAAGTACTATTAATTGGATTAACAAATAAGTCAACTCAGATCAACTAATGTCTAATCATGCTAAAAGACAACTCCAGCAAGCTAATCATGATTTAGCTTTGCCTGGATGAATAATTAAACTCTCATCCGAGGTACCCTGATCTATCCTTTCTATAAGGATAATTAATATCGATCTAGTAGCATGTATCCAATAGGTGCAGTCTTCTTTGTCTATATCAATAGTACATATCTGAGTGTATATCGCTGAGCATACATCTTTAGCATGTATCTGGATATATGGCATGTCTATAGCATATCGTATGCATGTCTATAGCATGTCTCATATATATAGTACAAGTCTGTAGTACATAAAGTATCTGTAGCTAGTATCACGGATATAAGCATGTGTCTTATAGCGTGGATCATAAAGTGCACATCTGAAGCAACAAGCTCATATTGCATTAATCTTGGTGCCTATCCAGATATGGTAAACATCCGTAGTCAATGTCGGAATACAAGTATAAGTCTATAGCGCCATTCATGTCCGAGGTGCCATCTATAGCCTATATCATAACATAAAAAATGTTCAGTCCTTAGACACTTTACAACCCTAATATGGAACCTGAGTTTCAAGGCATCTATCAGGCCTAGCTCATATGAGAATAATGATTTTACAATCAATCAACAAAGACCACCATCTTTCCTCTGCTCAATGCTGTCAGCAACGTTTTCTTTGAACGACGACCCAGAGCCTCAGAGATTTAGTCAACGGCTGCGATCGAGACAACAAAACGAACATACTCGACCATTGAGAAGACCACGTCGTAATAGAAATCTAGGTAACATATTGTTTGAATTACTAAAGAACATGGAATTAATTTTTATTTTGTTACAAAGTTGATATTATTGATAACACCCAGTTTAAAGAAACTGACCATCTCTTTGAGCGAAATGTTGATTATGATCCAAATTCCCCTACTTACTGCAGACATGTTATGCAGCCCATGAATTGTTAATGTCCAGACTGTAACGCATTGTTGTATACTGAAGAGCTTTTAAAAAACAAATTTTCGATGTGTTGTAGACAGGGAAAGGTTCAATTGGAAGCCCTGCAAAATCCTCCCCAGCCACTACGATCTCTACTTACTGATTCAGACCAAGAAAGTCAGCACTTCAGAAATAGCATTAGAGCCTACAATAACAGCTTTGCCTTTACATCACTTGGTGCACATCAAGATGAGGGCTACTACCGTGGATTTAACAGTGGCACTTACACATTTCGAGTTAAAGGCTCAACATACCACAGAATAGATCCTATCTCTCCTATACCAGGATTTGCCTCACAGTATGCTCAAATATATTTTACGGACCCTCAATACCAAGCTAGCATGCGCAGAGGTATATTTTCGCAGCTTCATGAACCTCTGCTTGAGCGTCTCCAAGAAATGATGATGAGAGAATGTCCCTTTGCGCAAACTTTTGAGATGGCAAGACAACGTTTCGCTCATAATGAAGACAGTTTTCACATCATGATCAATGGCCGAGCAACAGCGACATTAGGAAGAACTTATTCTGCCGTACTATAGATGAAGTGGCGGCCATTGTTATAGATCCAGTCTCCACAGACGATCCAAATTATGTCCCTCATCTAAGGAGAGATGTGGCAACATTTCGTAGAAATGGCACTGTGGAGCATATTATGAGTGAATGCCATAGATTCTATGATTCAATGCATTATGTTTTGATGTTTCCGAGAGGTGAGAACGGATGGCATGTCAATATGCCACTCAGCATTACTACGAATGCCTCCTTCGAAGATGATGATGAAGGTGATGCAGTTAATAGCGAAACTGATGACGATAATACTGCCAATACAGTTGAAGCTGAAATCGATGGCGATGATGTCGAACAAGAAGTTACAAGGCCTATTACCACCATTAGAAGAGCCCAGCAAAACATTAGCGTAATGCAATTTTATGCTCATCGATTGCAAGTAAGACCCAACGCAGGAAGGCTGCATTATTTCGGCTGGCTATTCCATCAATATGTAGTGGACATGTATGTGAAGGTTGAACATCGACGTTTGGAATATCTACGAAATAACCAGGGATCGTTACGAACAGAGCTGTATTCAGGGCTTACAGATGCAGCGGTATCTGATAGCACCATCTCCACTGAGGAGATTGGTAAGCAAATTATTTTACCCTCATCACATACTGGATCACCAAGATCAATGCAGCAGTTATATCAGGATTCAATGGCAATGGTTTCTGCATTGGGTTAACCAAGCTATTTCATAACATTTACCTGCAATAATCCAAACTGGCCCGAAATTGTCAATGAATTACGCAACGGTGGTTTGAGCCCAACTGACAACAGACCGGATCTGTGTGCACGAGTTTTCGACATGAAGCTCAAGGAGTTGATTTCTTATATTAAGACAAAGCCATACATCTTTGGTAATGTCATTGGCTTTACTCATGTCGTTGAATTTCAGAAACGTAGCCTGCCACATGCTCATATGGTGATTATTGTGGATGAACCGAGCAGACCTACTCTTGAAACGTATGATAAGTATGTCACTGCCGAACTCCCAGATCAAAGCAAGCACCCCAAAGCGTATGCTACAGTCGTTAGAAACATGATGCATACTCCATGCGGAAAAAACATCAATAAGAAAAGGCCATGCTTAGATGATAATCTCCAGTGCACCAAGCAATATCCAAAGCAATACACCGAAGAGACTTTTATCGATTCTAAAGGATTTGTTCATTACAGACGACGAAGTCAACCAAGAAGCATGCCTGTCAGATTTGGGGATTATTATGCAGATAATCGATGGGTCGTACCTCATAACTTATACTTGATGACAAAGTATGATGCTCATATCAACGTTGAAATTTGCGCAGGAGTCCAGGCAATCAAATATCTTCAAAAATATATCACAAAGGGTAGTGACAAATCTCAAGTCAAATTAAGTAGAGACCAAGCCCAAGATGTAATATCACAACCAACGGCAATACTGCCACTTCTACTATGACAGCAGCATCCACCTCTACGGCCACATCATCTGCTCCTACAGTAGGGCACCCTCAACAAGAAGATAATAGCGATAGAGACGAGATCTCAACTTGGGTCAATGCCAGATACATTTCCGCGTCTGAAGCTTGCTAGCGCTTACTTGGAAAGAGTTTACACTCTACTTTTCCGTCAGTTACTCGACTGGCAGTTGATCTTCCAAATCAGCACAGGGTGTACTTTAACAACAACACTACTATTGCCAATGTCGTAAATGCTACCACAGCAAAGAAGACTACTCTGCAAGCATTTTCTGAATTGAACGCATCAGGAGACGTCTTTGCGCAGAATTTGCTTTATATTGATGTCCCAAGACATTATTCATTCGACAAAAAGCAAAAAAAATGGGTAAAAAGAAGGCGAGGAATCAACAGCCAGAACTGTGTTAAGGGGATAGGCAGAATGTATTTCGTGCCTCCAAGTGCTGCTAATATGGAGAAATACTGCATGCGTCTACTTTTATTGCATGTTCGTGGCCCTCAAAGCTTTGATAATTTAAAAAACGTCAATGGTGTTCAATATGTCACATTTCGTGAAGCTGCTCAATCCATGGGACTCTTAGCAAACGAGGATGAATGGCATTTTTGTCCGGATGAAGGATACGCGATGATAAGAACTGGATCCTCTCAGGTGCGAGATCTTTCTGTAACCATTCTGATATTTTGCACTATCTCCACCTACAAACAACTATGGGATAATCACAAGGTTCAACTGTCTGAAGATTTTATTCATAAAATTCAACAATCTCAAGCTGTTCCACAAGAATTGACTGATGCTCAGCTGGAATCTTGCTATCAAAAGGCATTGATTGACATTAGTAGAAAATTAATGACGCATGGAAAATCAGTCAAGAATTATCCAGAGCTGCCCCAAATCGATGAATCTGTTTTCAATCAGGAGGATGAAGAGCTTCGATCATTATTTGATCAAGAGGTAGTTGGGTATAATCTGGAGACTTTGGCTACTGAAGTTCGAATTTACGAGGAAAGGATGAACGCTGATCAGCTTCAAATATACAACACTGTGCTTAATTCTGTAAACAATCCTGGCCTTGGTATCCCTACATGTTTCTTCATTGATGGTCCCGGTGGTACTGGAAAAACGTATCTGTATCATGCTCTTCTCACTAAGGTTAGAGCAGAATCAGGAATTGCTTTGGCAACTGCTTCCTTAGGTATCGCAGCAACTCTTTTACCAGGTGGTCATACTGCTCACAGTACTTTCAAGATACCTCTCAAGACAGACCAAACATCAACCTGCCACTTCTCAAAACAATCAAACACTGCTAAACTTTTGAAGGAAGCAAAGCTGATTATTTGGGATGAAGCACCAATGACTCACAAGCACGCATTTGAGGCTGTAGACAGATCGCTTCGTGATTTGATGTCCTCAGTACATCCTTCTTATGCTGGAAAGCCTTTTGGTGGAAAAGTTGTTGTTCTTGGAGGGGATTTTCGTCAAGTTCTCCCGGTAGTCAAGAAAGGTAGAAGGGCAGATGCAGTTGCAGCCTCTTTGGAGGCATCATACTTGATGTCTCATACTAAAAGTCTCAGACTGACTCAAAATATGAGACTCACCAACGATGAAGGCCCTTCCTCATCTCAATTCGGTTCTAACAATTTCGCTCAATACTTGCTCCGTATTGGTGAAGGATCTAACCAACATCAATTTGGTGATACTCTGGCCATTGACCCCCATTTGGATTGTAGTTACATTGAAAGCTACAGCGAGATTATTGAAATTGCTTTTCGTGATGTATCTATGATGTCTTCACCGACATCCTTTATAGACATAACTATCCTGGCAGCAACGAATGCGGTGGTGGATCAGATAAACGATCTAGCTCTGGCAGCGTTTCCTGAAGAATCTGTTGTATATCTATCCAACGATGAACATATCATTGATTCAGGGTCTCCGTCTAATACACCTGTTGAGTATCTGAATAAGTTGAAACCTTCTGGAATGCCTCCACATGAACTAAAGCTGAAAGTCAACCAGCCTATTATGTGCCTTCGAAACATCAATCCAAGGCAAGGCCTATGCAATGGAACCCGTCTTATAGTCAGAAACTTGATGAGAAATACGATTGAAGCCGAAATTGCATGCAGTAGCCACCAAGGGAACTTTGTATACATTTCAAAAGTTCGCTGCACAGTGACCAAGACACCGCAGAACTCGAGGGAAAGCTGTCAAGAACGCAATTTCCAGTGCAAAGTGCCTTCGCTATCACTATAAACAAAGCTCAAGGGCAAACCCTCCGCAATGTTGTCGTTTCTTTGCTGGACCCCGTTTTCTTCCATGGACAGTTGTATGTTGCTCTATCAAGAGTAACATCACTGAATCATCTCAAAATTGTTTTACAAAAGGCTGAAAACGAACAATCAAGACAAACTATAAACGTTGTCTATCAAGAAATTCTTTCTTAAAAATGCAAAGTTTTTCATTAAATAAAGTTTCTTACATTTTAGCTTTTATCTATTCGTGATATTAGCCAAAGGCCCGCGGCAGCGCGAGCCGCCTGAACGTAGGTTGGTTTCCACCGAAGCGAAGCGTAGGTCAGGAAACTACCCGAAGTGTCGAAAGGCTCGTCTTATATAGTATAAATCTTATAGTACTAGCGTATCTGAAGTCCATATCTTCTTATAGTATAAATCGATATCGTACATCTAATCCAGTGTACATACAGTTTATATCTAAATCTGGTAACTGGATGAACTGTCGGAATGCAGATCATAGTGGATGTATTCCACACTACCAAAAAATGATAAGTTTGTAGAAAATCGAAGACTAGAAGTCTACAAACACTACTCTTGCAGATTTTTGCAAAATGCGCGGTCGGGGAATCGAACCCCGGCCCTTCGCGTGGCAGGCGAAGATTATACCACTTAACCAACCGCGCACCTTGTTGTTTTGTCGTCTTGATAGATAAATCCAATGGTAGGAGTTAACAAATAACTTAGAGTGTAACTAATAGATTGAGATTATGTTTGAAGATGCTGTTTATTGAATGCATTTACAACTTATATTTATACTATTTCTGCGATCGATAATTACTTAATCAATGGAACTTTCGAGTAGATATAGTATTTGATATAGCAACTGATAATCAGATCAATGCTTGCTATCAGTTTCCAGAACCTTCGAGTATACGCTGGCGCCTTTTAGTCGCTTTCTTCAAATTTGGTTTAAACCTAAATTTAGGCACGACATCATTCCCCCCCGAGATTGTTGATCGACTCTGATCAACTTGATCGACAGAGCCAGAAGTACCAGAGAAACTAGAAGTACAAGATACAGCCTGATTACTAGAGTTGAGACCCATTTCTTCACGCCAAGCAGCACGAGACACAGTGGGGTTGTACCAAGGAGTATCAATGGATTCAGCCTTAACACCTTTTAAACGGTCAACATGTACCCAAGACGAGTAAGGTTCACCACCAATCGTAACCAACTTGTAGACATGGCTTTCCGAGTTTTTATCAACGACAATAAAGGGACCCATCCAATTGTATTCAAGACCGTATTTCTGTTCGTTTCTAAGCAGGACATGATCACCAACTTCAAATTCAAGCTTCTCAATAGCCGCATCCCAACGTTCTTTGTCGGATTCAGAGACCATTTTCATACGATGAGCAGAAGCAGCACGGACTTGACCAAGGCTTTCCAATTCACGAGCAGTATGTTCAGCCACAGTTCTAGGATCATTTGCTGTCAACTTATCGAAATAAGGACGAGTATAATCCCCAGGAAGCAGTGGTTCACGACCATATACCAAATAAAAAGGAGAATAACCAGTAGAGCGATGATGACGAACCCGAGCAGCAAAGAGAGCCGTGTCAACAAATTTATCCCACATAAAAATAGCACCGTTAACGTATTTTCTTAACATAGCCTTGAGAATACCATTGAGACGTTCGCATTTACCATTAGTTCTAGGGTGGAAAGCAGAAGTAAACTTGTGATTAACCTTGACTCTATGCATGTAGAGTTTCACCACGTTTGACATAAAATTAGCACCACGATCTGTCAAGATTTCCTGGGGGCATCCAAAACGCATCACGATTTCCTCATAGATGAAATCAGCAACGGCTTCTGCTGTGGCTTCCGGTACCGCACGAGCAATAGGCCAATTCGTAGTGTAATCAACCGCAGTAAGAAGCCATCTGTTACCTTGAGGTGTCAGAGGTAACTCACCAACAAAATCCAAGTGCCAGCGACCAAAAGCGGGAGGAATATCCAGAGAAACCATTGGAGCATGATGCTTATTTTTACCAGAACTAGAAGCCAACTGACATTCCTTACAAGTAGATAACCAGCCTTGAATATCAGATCGCATATTGGGCCACCACCAGCGTTTGCGCATAAGCTCAAACACAGTACTTTGACCAGCATGACCAAACCCTTCATGGAATCTGTTCACCAAGGTAGCACGATTTGAGAATGGACAGAACCTTGCTTCAAACTCTCGTTCACCAATTTTCACCTTGCGATAAACCTTCTCATTTTTGATGACAAACCTGTGAGTGTTGGACTCGAGTAGAGATTTCACCGAATCGGGAACTAACTCTTGTTTGGTTAAATAGAAAGTTGGCCAATCCGATGGATGTACCATTATATTTGACTCGACAGAGTACAAATAACGAGGTTCCATACTAGTATTAGCGGCCACACAGTCAGCACCATCACGACGGGAAAGAGCATCCGGGACTTCATTGATTTTGCCAGGTTTGTACAATATTTTAGGAGCGTAAGTCTCGATTTCTGATAACCAACGGACCAAACGAGCTGTAGGTTTAGATTGCGATCTTAGATACTGTAACGGATTATGATCAGTATATACCACGTAGTCAGCACCATCAATGAAGCATCGCCAGACCCGCAAAGCATGCAAAACACCAAGAAGTTCCCTCTCTTGCGCAGGGTAGTTACGTTCAGCCATAGAAAATTTCTTAGATTCGAATGCCAAAGGATGTAAAACGCCTTGGTCATCTTTTTGCAAAAGTACCGCACCACAACCAAAGTCAGAGCTATCTGTCTCAATGATATATGGTTTAGTCACATCAGGAGGTTGTAGACAGGGAGCATGAGTCAATAAGAATTTCAATTGATCAAAAGCTTTTTGACACTCCTGACTCCAGACAATGCCACGACGTTTAGAACCAGTACCCTTAGTAAGTTCAGTTAGAGGGGCTGCCACAGACGAGAATTGACGGATGAACCTTCGGTAATGGGAAGCCAAACCAACAAATTGACGAACCTCTTGCACATTAGTGGGAACAGGCCAATCCTTGATCGCTTTAACCTTTGAATCAGAAGGCAGAATGCCTTTTGCCGAGACCTTCATGCCTAAGAACTCCACTTCACGCTGATTGAACTTACATTTCTTTGGGTTGGCATACAACTTGAACTGCCTAAATCTTTCCAAAACTAGACGAATGTGTTCCAGATGCGATTCAGCAGTTGGAGAATACACCAAAATGTCATCTAAGTAGAGCTGGACGAATCGATCAATGTAGCCAGAAAGACACTTGTTCATCATATTTTGAAACACCGACGGAGAATTTCGGAGTCCGAAAGGAAGCACAAGCCATTCAAAAGCACCATAGCGTGTAACAAAACAAGTTTTAGGGACATCTGCGCTAGATAGCCTAATTTGGTGGTAGCCGCTCGTCAGATCGAATTGCGCAAAGTATTTAGCCCCGCCGAGGCGTTCCAAACACTCATCTATACGAGGTAAGGGGGTGTTGAGCTTTTTAGTGCATAAAGAATTGATAATTCTGAAATCAATGCACATTCGAAGCTCGCCAGACTTTTTACGCACAAACAGAACAGGAGCACCCCAAGGAGACGAACTAGGTTGGATGAAGCCTTTGTCCAACAATTCCTTTAGTTGACGTTGTAGTTCATCCAATTCTAAAGGACTCATCTTGAAAGGATGTTTGCATACAGGTTCAGCATCGCCAGTCTCGATAACATGTTCGATACCACGATCAGGAGGTAAACCAGGAGGTAGTTTTTCCGTGAAAACATCCTTGTACTCATCCAACAGTTTAGAGATATCCTTTCCGAGATTATCACTAGTATCCACCATGTTGTGCCAATCACCAGACTCTTTGACATGTACCAAAAACAATTCATCAATCTTGTTTTTTCGCAGAGAACGCTGCATTTGTCTTTTGGACATGACATACACCAAATCTTGAGCATTAGATACCAGATTTACCGGAGACAAGACAGCCATACCAATACCATGAGGGCCAGGGATAGACCAAGAGTTATTAGACCAATTGGGAACAGGTTTATACTGTTTGAACCATTGTTGACCAAGAATAAGATCAAATTTAGTATCAAACACATAAGCCTGTATACGTTGACCAACACCATTAGCCGAGACCGAAAATTCCACCTTTTCCTTGATAACAGATACTTGTCCATTAGCCGTTTCCACTTCGTGTTTAGAATGTAATGGTGTGATCTTCATTGTTGTAGGATTAACTAATGTAGGACTAATGTAGTTTGAGCTAGCACCAGTATCCAACAGTACCTTGATAGGCTTGAGGCAATCACGAGTTCCATCATTAGAACAGAGGTCAAAAGAGTACAACGGCAAATCAGTAGTAGCTTTATTGTTCTTTTCCAAATTAAACAAATAATTGCTGTCAGCCTTTAGATCATCCGTCTCGTGATCGCTATCGAGATCTAACAGATCAACACCATCATTACCAGTCTTGGGAACAGTATCTCCTACTTTGATACTGTTTGCAGTGAAATCAGGTTTAAATAGATTTCACAAAAAAAATAAAGCAAAGGTAAAATACAATAGAAATCAACTGTATTTTATTTTGTGTATAAAATAAACTGAAGATCCTGGAATTGAGTAAAAAAAGAAGAGTATTTATACATTTGCATCTGGCTTGTAGGATTAGTGATGATAGAGAGCAATAGGTGCTGCTATTGCGATATCTGGCAAATGTTGTTGATGTTTGATTTAAAGTGGTAATCAATGCAGGAGCACTGGCCATAAGGGTCGATTTGAGTAACCTTGATGGGCTTGGGTGAGCTATCGTCATAGCATGATTTAATGTAACCTTGATGGTTTAAAGTGTGATGTTTGTTATTGAAGCATGGAATCCTTTATCTGGGATATTGTGCAACTATGGCAGCAGGGCATAGTTGTCATATTTGAATATGCTTGTTATTGATTTAATTCTATTTGGATAAAGATACCATCACCT